AAAACGATTATCCATTTACTTTGAAAACATCAATTTATTGGAGAAGAAAATGTGAACAGTATGCTTTTAACAGTTGATTACCCTGAACTTTAAGTAGAATTCAACTGAAAAACCAAAACAAATAGTCACGTGACACAACGTGACGTCACACCCCCTGCTCGCCCTGGTCTGGCGGAAACACTGACAAGCAAGCAAGTCCTAATGTCAAACTAGTACAGTACAGTTCAAGTACAGATTATTTCAGTTCATCTAAATGCTGCACCTTAATGTTTATTTTATTATATTTTGTATTTATTTTAGTGAATATTCACAGTTTAATAATAATTAAAAACCCAAAACAAATATTTTATGTTTTGTGAGTACTAGTACAGTAAAGTTCCATTACAGATTATTTCAGTTCATCGAAATGCTGCACCTTAATGTTTATTTTATTATATTTTGTATTTATTTGAGTGAATACATTATTCACAGTTTAATAATAATTAAAACCCCTAATAAAACGTACCGAGCCGTGACCTAAAAACCGAGGTACGTACCGAACCGAAATGTTTGTGAACCGTTACACCCCTAGCAGACACACACTCTCTGAAACTCCTTTGATGTGGAAAATGCAATTGGCATTACTGGACGCCTACCTAAATCAATGTGAACTTTGGGATTACTGTATATGGGTCTGACTTTATCACAATAATGTTGATGGAGTTGGCTCCTGCCAATATAGTCTTAAGGCAAACAGGGAGCACAGTCATACCCAGCTATCGTTACATGGTTTTAAGAAATTATGAAAAAGGTTTGGTGTGCTACAGATTCGATGAAATTGTCTACTGCACTTTCAAGTAAACAGGTTCCATCTCAAGAGTTGCATTGAAGCATCAGTCATCCCTGTGTGGGAGAGTGACGGAGGACAAAATGCTATTTCAGGACAGACACTGACACAGACCAGCTTACAGTCATCTCTGTTATTCAGTGGTGGTATAGCAATTGACTTAACTTGTTTACCTCAAAGCTCCTGTGTTGTTTTCTTTTACGACTATTGTCTGCAGTCCTATTGACAGAAAACCCCAAATGATTGTCTAATTGTCTGTGATATGTTTTTTTTAATACATTTTTTTAGCCATTGGCTTTGGTGATGAAATAAAAATAATAAAATCTGATGCAAAAGAAAGTTGCACGGGCAGTACTAATGACAATATAGTTATTTATCCAGACTTTGAAATCCATTATAGTCTGTTATGTATTACTGCTGGTAGGGACAGTGTCATATTGCGACAACAGTACTGTCCAACATGTAGCCTAGTGGCCTAATCTCCAACGCTATTTTCAGATTACAGGATGATGTAATACAGCGAGTAAAAAGCAAAGGCATGCTGTTTGTTTTTGTCTGTGTGTGCTTAGGAAGGAGAAAGGATGTGTGCACTTAAGGCTTTGCATGCATGTGAGTAAATTCTTGTGAGTTCTGTGAATGTGTGAAATCCTACAGCTCATCCAGATGTCAGGAGATTTTGAGTGCCTGCTGAGCCAAAGCTGCTTTGATTCTTCTTCATTTTATTATCCACTTAAAGTGGTTGTGTTTAAATGTTACTATAATAGAAAAACCTTCCCTCAGACAATGCTATTAATGTCATGTTGCTACCCTGGCCGCCAAACAGAAAACACATGATGCAACATTTACTGTTGACTGAGCATATGGGGATCTTTGCAGGAGGCTACTATTATTCAAATTATAGGTCAGGTTTATTGTTGGCATTAGGTTGGTAGAGCTGCCTCAGCTGCATCTTTTGACATAACACACACACACACACTTACTGTGACACAGCATGCTAGTCAGTAGTTGCTTATTCCTTCAAAGAGCTCAAAGTGTGTTAGATGTTTACTGCCAGCTTTCTCTGATGTGTGTCATAAAGGTTAGAGTATCATCTCCCCTGCTTGGCTTTTGATGCATTACCATACACTTTGTGCCCTTACAGTAAAACAAACCGCAGAAGGGAATCATTTTGGCCCCAATGGGGAGAGAGTAGCTAGTTAATTTCACTGTGAGATGAATGATTTCCCCCCTGAGACCATCCTCCCAAGTTCCTGTTCTGTTTGATGCATCTTCTTTTTACCTACGGCTTCATGAAGCTTTAAACGAGGAGTTTGAGAAGATCTGCTTTATTTTTCTGGGCCTGATGAAACAGTCTCCATCGCCAAGCTGATTAATCGTGATTTCTATTCTTGCCTTCATTCATAAAATGAATAAACATAATCTATGTCGAAAAGAAGAGGGAAGATAATAACAATCTGATCGTAAAACTTGTTGTGTTTAAAGAGGCTTCTGTTGTGCTTTTTGAGTTGTTAAGATTACAATTGACATAGCTTCTGAGAATCTGACTGATACAGTGGCCTATTTTTGGGTAGAAAATAACCTTGAAACTGTCTTTCATCTCTGCTTATTCACAGTGTACTTCTATTACACCCCCCCCCCCTCCAGCACACTAAAGAAACAGCAAGCTTGACTGAATCTCAGTTCTGCTCTACAATACACTGCAGCATATCGTATCCTTGTGCAGATACACAGCAAAGGCCTCCAGATGCCTGATAACTATTTGAATGACATGTATTTGCCCTGCCTTATTTGACACAGTCATTAGTATTGACTAGCACATGAAGCGCCATCGATTGAGTCATTTGTAATGTAACTGTTTTGATTGCACCTAATCAATATTAGGTTTGTTTGATTAGTGATGATGTTGTCTGAATTTGACTTAAACACAAGTGGGACCAGTGATAGAAAGTATTATGCATATACTCTACTGAATTGATTCTACGAACATACATAACCGCAGCCCGCAACCGCTGAGGGTGCAGATGGACCTTTACGGGTTGTTTTATGGAGGAAATGATGTAGCAAGTAATGAAAATGCTTGTGTTGGAAGAGGCCCTTTCCGTCTGTGTGCTGGCACTGCATCCGTCAGCCCTGATCCTGGCTGGCTGGAGCCAGAGCCAGAGCCACAGGCTGGTGTTTCCACTGCAGTGAGGAGCTGGCAGTGTGTGAATAAGAGACAAGCTGACCTCTGTACCTGCCTCCCTTTCATCATGTGTTGCCAATGGGACTGGGACTACATTGGTCTTTATGGACTAGCTCAACTTCCTGGACAGTGGGGTACAAAGCTCAGGCTTTCCCAGAATAAGTGGTGGCTGACAGTGGAAACATGTATGTTTGTTCATCTGGATTTAAGTAACCGAATTCCTGTCTTCACCCTGAATGGTTGGTGACATAAATGGTCCTTTGCCGTTTATCAAATAGTATTTTTGCTTCTAATGCACTGTAGCTTTGGTTAAATCGATTTTTTTGGTCATATATTTTTATTTCTGAAGAGGTTGATATTCCCAATGCCTTATCTTTTTCAGCTGTCATTTTGCCTTTGAATTAACAGCTCAGTGGCTAATCATGAAGTGACTGCGTCTTTGCTTTGCAGCTTTATTCTCATGAGTAGACCGCCAAGCATATCAAATACACAACTTTCCATGTGGCATTCATGAGCTTGCATGGTCCATTTGAAGGTAGAACCAGTGTGTTCCCTAAAATGTTAACATGATTTAATGTTGTGTTTATTCCTGATCGAGGCTATTTCTTGAATTTAATCTGTGTTGGCAGAAAGCACATATACCATTGTGGACCTCCAGCAAGCAAAGCAAGTTTCTGCACCCTTGCCCTGGGCAGCTATTGCAAACCACTGCTGCTTGGCTGGTAACGTATCATTTAGGAATTCAATTTTTTTCTTTGCTGCAATCGATGTCTTTCATCCTCTGTTTTTAAGTCTTACATTTAATAACTCTGACCTTTTTAAAAGGCTGCTCCTGCTGCTAAATACAGTCCCAGATATTCACAAAGGGCCCATCAAGACATTCCAGGAAGGACAGCTGAACTACAGCTGCCAGACAACATGAAACATCTCGCCCCCCTTAGGGTGAAAACTCACAACACATAAAGTTGAGCTGCTTTATTCATAGCAGGTAAACAAATGCCAAAAGTCAACTCTCACTTAGTTTCTAGGTAGCTATGGCAAACCAGTGGGCCTGCACGGTGCATCAAACTATCTGGCTTCTAAACAGTGTTCTATTGCCAAATAATTTGCTTGAATGACTCAGATTGTGTTCTGTTTCATAGTATTTAGGGATGAACTGGCTATTTCCTGTGTCTCAAGTCTGTCTGGAGCGATCTGTGCCACAGACGTGTCTACACACTTGTTCTCAGAGTGTTTCCTGTTTTCCTTTGGAGGGTTCAGTGCTCTTTCTATGTCTGGCAGCCTCATTCATTCCTTTGTTAAAGCTAAAGTTTCTTAAAAATACTTATTTTTTATTATCCTTATTAGAGATGCTCCGATCGCCAATTTTGGGGCCGATCGCCGGAATCAGTATCGACCGATCCGATCGAGTGGGCGGGGCCTATGGGGATCTTCCATTTAAAGTGACGTTTAAAACTCAGTTAATGGGGCTTTTCCTCTCTTTAAAAAATTAAACCTAAATGGCTCTCTTTCTCTCTCTCTCTCTCTCTCTCTCTCTCTCTCTCTCTCTCTCTCTCTCTCTCTCTCTCTCTCTCTCGTATCTCTCTCTCTCTCTCTCTTCTCTCTCTCTCTCTCTCTCTCTCTCTCTCTCTCTCTCTCTCCTGACAGCCTGTCAGTATCTCATGCAGCTCACTGTTCTAGTAATGAGTGACCCGAGTCACCCGACAGTGAAGAATACATATATTTATAACTAGTTTAGCTTGTTCCAGAGGTAGATGAAATCGGCGGATCGATCGGAGCATCCCTAATCCTTATATATTTCTTAGTTTTACCTACTTTGTAACTTGTTTTTTAGATTGTTTGTTTTCGCTCCACCAAATACCAAAACATATTCCTTGTATGTGTAAACATACCTGGCAATAAACTTGATTCTGATTCTATAGTCCTGTGTATTGGCTTATGAGCATGATCTTCTTTAATTAACTAATTTGTTTCTCTCTCTTTTGTGGACAGAATGAAGATGCCTAAGGCTGGGAGGTAGAGCCCCCCCACCAGAGAGAGCTTGTTCCAGGGCTGGGGCTGGACCCAGAGACCCCTGTCTGGGGGTTGCAGGGCCCTACAGCCCTGTGTGAGTCTGGACTATGGGGGATAGAGGAGTCGGTGCAACTGGAGGAGATGGGGTGAACAAGTCCCATGTCCTGTTCGACAAGTTTGTCCAGGGGACCACGTTCAAGGGCACGCTCAAGGCCTTCCAGGACCTCTGTGACCATCTGGAAGTCAGGCCTGGCGAGTACAGGATCTTCTATCACAAGCTCAAGTCCAAACTCAACTACTGGAAGGCCAAGGCACTCTGGGCAAAGTTAGATAAGCGGGCTTTTCAAAAGGAGTATAAGAAAGGCCGTGCCTGTGCCAACTCAAAGGTAAACCCAGATTATCACAAACTGCATGCCTAGTTTGAAGGTGACTTTGCTTCTTCGTGGTGTCATTTCAGTGAGAGCTAAATGTGGTGCTTGTTGTTAAAGAATCATGTAATGTGATGCTCATGGTTGCTATTAAAGTTTTAAAAGTTTTAAAGTGTATCTGACCGCCAATCAGCGGCTGTATTTGTTGTTGTTAAAAAGTTGAATTGAAAGACTAGTGCGTCTTTGAACTGTGGTCTAAAAATAAAGTTCATTTAATCAACCAACTAATAACATTTCCTTTTTAAGATGAATACAATTTGTAACTTAGCTTATGCCATGCTATCTAAATGTAGTTAGGCTTATGTTATCTTTGCTCATGTTAGCTTACAGTATGCAGTGTTTCCCCTAGGATGGAGTCATAGCAGCGGTGCTAAGGCACGTGGGCCCAGCATAATGTGAGCACGGAGCGCGTGGAATTTTTTAGTGTGTGCATGTGCGAAGTGCGCCCCGCCAATTTGTTTCTATGTGTTAGCACAAGAAAGGCTCTTGAGGCCTAGTACCAGGGCCGGTTCTAGCCAATTTGCTGCCCTAGAAGAGATTTTATATATAAAGAATAAATGAAAAATCTCTACAAAAGGCAAATACACTACAAAAACAGAAACTTATTGACACAGGTTATATACGTCAAAATGTCTTCAAATGTATTCATTATTGTATGAACATGTTTGAATTGGGGGGTGGACGTCACATCCTCTAGGGGTCCGGGGGTATGCCCCCCCGGGAAGATTTTGTTGAACATTTTAAGGTAAAATGCTTCAATCTGGTGCACTTTGAGCACACAATTACTAGTGACCTGATCTAGGGGGTACAACTCTAAAACACCCATATGAAAAAGATCGGTTTACATTTTAATAATCAAATAAGTATATGAACATAACCAGTAACCTACCATAGCCAATAACAAATAAATGTAGCTTATTTTATTTTTGTTGTTCATTCATATCTTATTTTACCTAGTTAACATTTATTTATTTATTTATGCATATTTTTGTATCTCTCCAACTTTAAACGATATTTTTGGATTACTGTCCTATAGTATACATTGGAATGATTTCAAACCTGTTTTTATTTATCCTAATAATTATAAAGGAGTGCCTTGGAAATATGTGTTTACATAATTTGTGGTCAAAACGTTTGAGACCCACTGAGATAACTTCGACTAAAATTAACTTATCTAAACACTTAGAGTCCTTCACCTCACTGAGCCTCTCAGTCTGACAGGAGAGCTCTCCTCCACAGTGGTTGTAGAAACATCTACTTCTTATATCCGTTAGCGCTGCTAGCATCAGATTCTAATAACAACAGCGCCGGTACCGGTGCGCCCTCTCCCTCGCTCGCTCCCACGCTCGCACTTTGGCTGTGAGCTGCGGGAGCCTGATAAGCCAACATCCCCCACAGTGGCAATGTCTCAACATTTAGCAAAAATACACCTTTATTGAACATACAGTAACACAAATACTACAAATCCACATAACAAACAATCAAAAATGAAAAAGGGTCGCCACTTATTATTATTTTAATAAAAAGTAAAAAAAAAAAAAAAAAAAATTTATTTTACCCCCTAGTAGTGGCGCGCATATTTCAGCGGCGGCGCTGCGCCGCCACTATTTGTATATAGTGGAAACACTGGTATGTTATGTTATCTTAAGTGGTCCAGTTTTATCCTACATAAGTCAAGCTAATTAAATTAGCTATTTTGTCATATTTTAGCTTGACTTATCTTTAATTAATTAAGCTTTGCCCTATCTTTCGGACCTTGATAGTATTGATAGGTGGGCCCATGACCATTTTCCAATCCACGCAAAATTGAGTTGCAATGGATTTTCTTTCTTAAATTTAAATGAGGTGCATGTCAAGCATCAACATAGACCAATCAAGCTTGCTTATTTTGTTAATAGCATGTTAATAACTACAGCTTGATTTCACTCTCATACATTTGTATTCTCTTTGCGTGTTGCAAAACAGGTAATGCTTTTTTGGGTTTCCAGCCTGTTGTGAAAGATGGACAGTGGATCTGCTGTTCCATGACAATGGTTGAAATCTTTCTCAGAGCTTGTCTATAACATGTGCTTCTCTCTGTATGCAGTGTGTAATCATTGGTGCGGGGCCATGTGGCTTACGTACAGCCATCGAGCTGGCCTTCCTGGGGGCCAAAGTGGTGCTGCTAGAGAAGAGGGATGCCTTCTCTCGGAACAATGTGCTGCACCTCTGGCCCTTCACCATCCAGGACCTCAGGGGCCTCGGGGCCAAGAAGTTCTATGGAAAGTTCTGTGCTGGTGCTATCGATCATATCAGTGAGTTTTGTCGTGCTATTGTTTTCTAACACTACCTATATGATTTATTTGCTTGGATAAAGAGTTTGATGTGCTTAAGTGATGCATTTTTGGGTTTTGTAGGTCAATCTTTTCTATCCTTCTCTGTACTGTAATAAAGGTATTCGTCAGCTTCAGTTGATTCTGCTCAAAGTGGCTCTCCTGCTGGGCATTGAGATCCATGTCAACGTGGAATTCAAGAGTCTCATTGAGCCCCCAGAAGATCAAGAAACTGAAAGTAAGTGAGTCATAAGCTGAATGACAAGAAGAAGAAAAATGAATGGAAACAGAACATGTGTTCCATCAGGGAGCTATCTGTCAGAGACTTTAAGCTGGCTCTGTTGATGGATTTCTGCCTGATTACACATCTCGTGTGTTTTCACAGGGATAGGCTGGAGGGCCGAGGTCCACCCCAGGACACACCCTGTCAACGAACTCGAGTTTGATGTCATCATTGGAGCAGATGGAAGGAGAAACACGCTACCAGGCAAGTCTGCATGTACTGACTGGAAGAAATATATCGCAGGTTTTTGCCTTGACTAAACCAGGCAAAACACAAACAGCCCTGTTTGTGTTTTCTAAGCTGACTTGGTTGTCAGTCAGAACGATTATGATCTCACTTGTGTACAGCTGTGGTCGGCTGCATGACCTCACTCCGATCCTCACGTATGAATGAACATTTGTGCACATTTGTGTATGCGTGTGTTTGTTTGTGTCTGGCTGCTACGTCCAAAGAGAATTTCTGACAGCTCTCCCTGCAGAGAATAATAGGAATTGTTGAATTGGCTGTCTGTTTCCTCTATGAATGTTGGGGCCTCATGCCACACTGGCAGCAGGAACCCCTGTGGAGCAGAGTACCGTGATCTCTCCCCGTACTACTGAGAGCTGCATCAATGAAGGGAAGCAGCAGGCTCCCTCTGGGATAGCCATGAACTTCAATCACATGGCTTGAAAAACAACAATACTGTTTATGTTGTCATGATACAGAGCATCTGGATGCATTTACAGTGTGCATTTGCAGGGTTTAATATGTCGTAAAAGCAAACATAATCACAGTGGTGGTCGGTAGGGGTGGGTACCGAGTCCCGTTATTAAACGGGCCCTGGGGCTGAATTATTAAAGACCGTGGTACCGTTAAGCTCCGACGTTATCGGTCTTTTTATCGGTACTGGAGACATTTAAAAAATATATCATACACACACACACACACACACACACACACACACACACACACACACGGAGGAGATGGCGGAGAGAACGCGCTCCGAGGTGTGGTTAAACTGTACCCGTCTCGATGTGGACAATGCTCGTTACCAAAAGTGCAATAAGAGTTTAGCATGTAAGGGCGGTAACAAGAGCAATTTGTCGAAACATTTAGCAAAAGTGCTCCACATCCAGACGGAGAAATGCACCGGGTTCGACTGTCTTTCTAGCAGCTCTGTAGCCCCGTCCACGAGTAACGTTTCCACGTCACGCAACACACAGAGTTAACTAAGTTATACAAACATGGGTTAATGATTAGAGGTAACTGAGTTATTTATTTTGTTAAAGTTTCAGCTATTCTGTTCACAGTTCTGTCATCACATTATTTAATACGATTTGTTAAAACATTGTTGTTTCTTTTGACGTGAAATATTATGTATTTAATTTCAATAAAAAGCAATGTTAGTTTTGTTCACAATTTGTTTAGTTAGTTTACCTTTTTTTTTTATTAAAAAGAACCGATAAGAGTACCGTTAAAAGACCGGATCGATAAGCGGTATCAATAAAAGTAGTAGTACCGTTAAAACCTTAACGATACCCATCCTTAGTGGTCGGTTTCTCATTTTTTGTTTAATATTGGTACAATGCAGGTCTGATTTCTGACCTTTGAATCTGTTTCCTCTTGTCATTTCCTCCAGGGTTTCGGCGTAAGGAGTTCCGGGGCAAGCTGGCCATTGCCATCACTGCAAACTTCATCAACAGGAACACCTCAGCGGAGGCAAAGGTCGAGGAGATTAGCGGGGTGGCCTTTATCTTCAACCAGAAGTTCTTTCAAGACCTCAGAGAATCCACAGGTTTGTCACATACAGAAAATGTCAAGATACAAAAAATGGGGACTTGGTGTGCAAAGGCCTTAACCTCTTAAGCCCGATTGCCCCCGCCGGGGAAAACACAACAATATTGCACAAAACTGTGTCTCAGGGCTTCTTTACATTTAACAACCTAGTAATGTGTCATCCCCACTTAACCGGAAGAAACTCAGCTAACTGACGATATGAACCATTTTTAGCTAAACGAAACACAAGGGTAACACCAAGCCTCTGAATTAGCACTAAGCGAAAAAATGCTAACGCACTTAGCACATAACTCGCGGTAGCGATATGTTATACTTACAGCAGCGAAAGCCAGGAAAGACAACACACACCTTCACTTTACGGGGCCAAAATGGCAAATATGTCTTACCTTTGCTGTTTTCTGATAAAAAGTTGTCTTCAATGGCACTAAAACGCTGCTGAAGGTTAATCCAATTGTGTCACTTTGAAATGATTACTGATAATCCATCATCATATTTATGGCAATAAATGTATTTTTCATATAGAGTGTAAGGGAGCTTCCGGTTTTAGGATGCTGCATGCGCTTCACTCTCACTCACCAATGGTAATGTTTAGATGAGTCCTCTAGATGGATTTAGGAACCGATTTTGTGGGGGAAAATGTGAAATCATAGACATGGATACAGCAATACAACAATGGGAGCTGCCTGAAGCACTGATGAAACAGAAAAAAGGAAAACTGAGGACATAATCTGTCCTTGGACCACATTTCTGAATTTATCAGTTTATCCAATTAAAATGCTTAACATTAGGTTTGATGCCAAGCCTGCCAGGGTTTATTGCTGACATGACAATGTCTCCGGGGCTTTGTGCTCCGAGTCGTCTAATTGCTCCTCTAGTGACGACATGACAGTCAGCTCTGGCAATAAGGAAAACAATTGTTTTTGGGGTAAACAATACATCTTTGTCTTGGTCTTTTTAGGTGTTGACCTGGAAAACATTGTCTACTACAAGGATGACACGCACTACTTTGTGATGACTGCCAAAAAACGGAGCCTGATGGAGAAAGGAGTCATTCTGCATGTGAGTCATCAAAGCCAAGCTCTGTGTGTGTCTTTGTCTGATTGTGTGTGTGTGTCCGTGTCTGTGTGTCTTAGTGACAATTATTGGATCTCATTATATCCCCTGTAGTATATATAACAGCTGTACAGTATGCATGTAAAAGCTGACTAAATCAGAAGTCTGTCCCTCTATTGCCTTTTCGTATCTCTCTCTTTCATTTTTTCTGTCTTTTATTCTCGCTCTGTTTCTGCCCAGCATAGGCCTAATGGTCCAACCATGCCAAAAGTGTTTAGGAAACAAATCAAGCACACGTACTGAGTGTTCCTGTCCTCACTGTACACAGTAGGTTCCTTTCTCTGGCCATTTCCCACAGGAAACAGGACATTACTTTTTTAATCAATGTCTGAAGGTGTGCTTTGTTTGGGTTGTGTCTCCAAAAGTATTTCACATTAACATTTTTGCAAACCACATGTGTCCAATTTTAGATGAACATGTGAGTCTGTGTGTGCATTCTCATGGTTAACTGATGACATTAATGATGTTTAGGTACACACTGTAGTCTGAAGCCTGAGGGTATTTGGAGGACGCAGGCACGTGTTAATGAAAAGCAATCATTTACTGGCAGAGGGGCAGATCCTTTTTATAGCAATGCAATTGACTCATTCCTGCCCCTTGGAGAGGGATAAAGGAAGGGTGGAGGGGGCGACTGAGGGGCGGTGTTACCACACAGTTCAAGGATTTAAACTGCAAATCAGAAATCCACCCTCAATCATTTCTTCCACTACCCTGCCCTTCCTCTCACCCACCATCACCACAGTCAGCCTGGCATTGGACAACCAGAGAGCCTGAAGGTGGAAGAATGTGCGTCTCACCGCCCTCTGTGAAAACATGTCACTTAGAAAGCATGCAGTGATTTGATGCTACATGTTGGAGAGACTTGTGAACTGCACGGTTCATTCCAATGCAAGTGCTCTTTCTAGTGCTGTGTGTTAAAGGGGCTGTCAAGTTTAAGTGACTCCTTAGTTTACACAATGTCACTACTGCTAAATGTGATTTATCCTGGTCACAACAAATATTACACTGTCTTTTGAAATGTCACTAATTTGTCAGTTTATAGTTGCCCTTCCACCTTACTTCAGGGATCACCAACTACAAAATAATTCCTAGAGACACTTTCGGGGCCAGCGATTTTTATATATAGCCCTGATTTTGGAAGTTGTTGACCGGAGGGGGGGGGGGTTGCTAGTGGAGCACGCGCATGTACTGTCAAGTCGTCGGAGCCTCCTAGCTGGGGCTACTGCGGAGCGCATAAAGCAGACTTGTCACGCTAAAAGGATCGCTTGTTTTTCAGGGCAGGGAAGGCTACGCAGTACGCAGGCTACTGTCCCGCAGCTGCTGCCTCTCTGTTGGACTCCGGTACTGCACATTACTCACGAGACGTTGTAAAACAAAAATGAGTGGGGGGCCAACGCACTAACCACTCCACCAGCGCCACAGCGCGTGCCGGATGAGAATGCCTAGCGTGACAGATTTGGCGCGCGGGCCGCCAGTTGATGGTCAAACTCAAAATCTTTGAGACTATTACTGTAATATTGTGTTAGATGTGTCAGATAATTATTAGAACTCTACAGACCCAGCCATTAGTTACATTGACTACAAATAAACTTTGATAAATGTATAAGTTATAATTTTCAAAATAGCTTCCCTTTATTAAGTGGTCACATAGTAAGTGCAATAACAGGCAATACTAGATTTGGCTTTTTTTATAGATTTTGTATGAAGCTGCCAACAAAATATGCTTATTAGTAGGTCATTATTAGTTTGAGGACTCTTGCTACTTCCTTGAACTGCTGATTGTGTAAGTTGTAACTCACCACAGTTCTCGTTACATCTCAGCTTTTATTAGTTTTCATCTAACTTCTAATTTCATGCTTCTTTTGCAGGACTATGCGGACACGGAGATGCTGCTGTCCAGAGCTAACGTGGACCAGGCTGCCCTGCTGTCTTACGCCTGTGAGGCCGCCGACTTCTCAACTAACCACCAGCTGCCCACACTGGACTTTGCCATCAACCACTACGGCCAGCCCGACGTAGCCATGTTCGACTTCACCTGCATGTACGCTTCAGAGAACGCCGCCATGGTGCGCCAACGCAACGGCCACGCGCTGCTGACGGGGCTCGTGGGCGACAGCCTGTTGGAGGTGGAGTTTTTTTTAAAGCTTTCCATGAGAGAACTTTGCTCTTCCACACGTGTGATGTTTATGCTGTTCTTCAAAGGTCCCATAGTCAGGATGTTTGGATTATCAAGCAGGTCTAGGTGCTATATATATTCTATTCTCATTTTCGGAAAAAGATCTGTCAGGACTTCTGTAATGTTGTGATGTCAAAACTATACTATATATACATAGAAAGTGCTGCTGCAGTCATTACCCTTGCTGCAATGGCAACGCATAGAACCCAAGAGCTCAATACTTAAGACCCAGAAACACTGACCAATCAGAGCAGACTCGGCTAATCCAAGAGGGGGTACTTAAAGAGACAGTTGCTAAAACTGAGCGTTTCAGAAAGAGGTATACAGATATATTCAGAAAGAAAATATTAGTAAAAATGTGTTTTTTCAAACATAAAAGCACGTAAACATGTTTTTAGTAGGAAACCTTAATACAAGTATGAAGCTGACATTTAGCATAATAGGTCCCCTTTGAATCTTGTTTCACAGGCAGAGTTATTATTAGATCTGCAGTTCTTCTGTAGCCATATTTGGTTGTTGAATTTGATGTTGATGTTTCTCCAGCCCTTCTGGCCCATGGGCACTGGTATCGCCCGAGGATTCCTGGCAGCCATGGACTCCGGCTGGATGGTGAAGAGCTGGGCGCAGGGAAAAACTCCACTCGAAGTTCTAGCTGAGAGGTAAGGGTGTTGAAACACTGAAACACATACCATATTCTTGTACTTTACACACATGCATGCACAGCCACACAAGCATAATATCTCTCCTCTAACACACCCATTTATCTCTAAGTGCTTTACTAGGAAATGTGCCTGTACTGTATGTGATTTCAAGCACCAGTCCCACCGCTGCTAGTACTAATGGGATAAGAGGCTCTCGTAAGAACTGAATGGAATGTGACTCCCCTACTGTAGTGTGCCGTTTGATAACAATGTTACAATGTGTACATTATTTATGCTACACTTATTTTGTTGTTTTCCTCTTTGCTTTAGGGAAAGTATATACCGTATCCTGCCCCAAACCACGCCAGAAAACATCAGTAAGAACTTCAGTCATTACAGCGTGGATCCAACCACACGTTACCCCAACATTAGCCTTAACTTCCTCAAGCCAAGCCAAGTTAGTACAACAAATCTCAGCTGCCATATTTGAAAAGCAATACAAAAAACACATGTTATCTTCATGGAATTCAATATTTTGGAATTGCAGATATGTAATATAATGTGTTTTTTTCCCAGGTGAGGCACTTCTGCGACACAGGGGAGGCCAGGGAAATGTGCATCGAAACGGAGAATGTGATCAACTCGTCGACACCCAAGTTGGCCAGGAATGGTTCGTATCTATTACATGCTCTAAAAAAAACAATATACACTTTTTTGTAGTTACAAAAGAAATGTTTCAATATGCTGACTGATCAGTGTAGGATGTTGCTGCAATCACTGTTGCTGAAATGTAACAATGAACTATTTCACAAAGTCCGAATGCATGGTGTTGCTTTTCAGGGACTCCTAATAGCTTTAACAGTTTGAAAGTCTACCGGCTGAGTACTGAGTTAAAATTAGTAGTGGAATGATGGAACTCCTGGATGGGCTGATGCAGCCGCTTAGTGTGTACTAACTGGGTCCTTGACATTTCGCTTTGACCTCCCCTTTTATTTTGTTTGTACATTTTTAGCTGGATTTTTTTTTTTCCTGTAAGTTCTGCATCCTATCCTAACCTCTCATTTGCATCCCTCCATTTCTCATGGTTAATAATACTTCCTCATTGGCTTGTTAAAACTGGAACTAACATGGTTCATGACGCCATGGATGACAACATGTTATGATCCTTTGCTCAGCCTTGCCTGACCAAGGCCATGAGTTTGGCCAGCTATAAATGTGTAGTGCTTCCCAGAAACAGTTTATATTTATTTCCATGTTCAAGCTGCTGTGGACCATAAAGCCTTCTCTTTCTCCCAAACCAGAATCCATAGCTAGATCCAGTAAGCTGCTGAACTGGTGCCAGAGACAAACGGAGGGATACAGGAATGTTAATGTAACGGACCTTACGATGTCTTGGAAGAGCGGTCTGGCTCTGTGCGCCCTCATTGACAGATACAGACCGGACCTCATGTGAGTATCTGAAAGAAATACGTACAAAACCACGAATGACCCATCTGAACTCGTACTCTGTCATATCGGTTTGCAAGACAATAACTTTTAAAATGCTTGTTTTCTTAATTGGGTCTGGATCACTCATCGCTATGCTAACATTGTAGCATCTCAATTAACACTCACACTAAAGTCTTCTTAATAAGCAGGGCTGCACATAACTGGTGCGCAGGTGCGCATGCACACCCCCCGCCTAAAAAGGAGCACCGGATTATTTAAAAAAAAGCGCAGGCATACAGCGAACAGTTCATGAGCGTGCTCACTAGCATATAGACATATTAACATTTTTTGTAAATATATAAACTCACCGGCATTTAAGATGTTTATAATTGATGACAGGAGCCCACATAAAAACGTTTTCCCCTATTTCTGATCTAGCAACATCAGGATGTTGTCAAATAGGCTTTTGCAGCACAGTGTCACCCGTTTTTTACATATGTTGCTGTATTAAACGCAGCGTTCGTATACCACACCATAAAGAGCAGTGATTAATACAGATGGAAAATTAGTTTTGCAATAAAACATTGCCTCTTCAAGGCATATCTCTCAATGGAAAGAATGAAAGGGTTAAAACTGCCGCAGTTCCTGGAATGACCCGCCTGCTGTGTTTATGCGTGTTTATCGGTTGCAGATCATGTTTATTGTCTGTTTGGGACCTTGGTTTTGAGTTGTGCATCACTGTAAATGAGGTGACAGCTACGAGTCATTATGGCCTCTTGGGTAATTGAAGGGAGCCCTCCTCATGTCCCGGCTTCCCCCCCCACACACACACACACAGAAACACACAAAAAACAACACAGTCTCCATCTGCATTACCTAATGTAGTTTATTACCCTCTAGATCAGTGATTCTCAAAAAAAATTCAATAATGTACCCCCTTTGGAAAAGAAATGCAGCCAAGCACCAGCGCAAAAACTATTTGTTAGGGACAAAATGCCTATATAAAGAGGTACAGTACAGTGCTGCACCATCAGAGTCTGATTTATTAAAACAACAACCTCGTAACTGAGAAACACTTAAATGCTAAATTTCAAATGTTTACAATCCATCACTACATTCATGGCAAACCAATTTTAACATCATGCAATAACACTGAGACGACATTAGTTGCATTGAACTGATCTTTTTAATAAGGTGTACTTACAATGTAGTGAGAAACATGGGCTTGTGCTTCACTGAGGAACTTTGTCATTCTGACAGGGAGGCTGCAGTTATTACACTTCGTGTTTTGAAATATGTGTAACTCTAGTCCAGGGGTGGCCAACCAGTCAGAGGTTAAGAGCCACATTTTTTCTATGTTACTGCAAAGAGCCACATCAAACACACAGTCACTGATAACGCTTGTTTCAGTTTTTTGTTTTCTGGAGACAAGATTTCAACCACGTCACTGATGCATCTTTGTGGCATTGGGATATATTTTTTTTAAATCCTCTGGAGCAGAGAGAGGAGCTGTGGATTATTGTTATTGATTATTGCATCAGTGTTTCTTAGGGTCAAAAACACTAAACTCACAACTTAAAATGAAAGCGTTTAGTTTATTTAATAAAAGAGCACATGTTCAATGTGAAAAGTGACAGTAGTTATAGATTATTTGCAATTTGGGGCTATATATATATTTAAAATATATATATTATATATATTTTTGAAACACCTTGAATTTCAGGGGGGGGCGCGGGGCTCCGTTGGCGGGGCGCAGCGCCCCTCCAACACAATGGTAGGGGAAACACTGGATAGTGTTTAATCAACGATAGGTTTCCCCCCCTCAAAGGTGATTGGTTCACTGCATCGCAGGTATTATTGTGATTGGCTCTTGGGTCACATCAAAATTAGACGCGCTGTCATCCTCTCATACTGACACCTGACACCACACATACACACGTAGGGAGAGCCGGGACGAAAGTAACACGGGACGAAAGTAACGGAGCGATTTTATCCGAGCCCAAACAACTTTGACCGGCCAAATTACGTCAGAATTATCAGCATTCAATACTTAACAGACCTACTAAATATCAGGTTTAACTGTCAGGAGTAGCTAGTGTTGTCACGGTACCAACATTTTGGTTTCGATACCAAGTCAAGAATTGCGATTCCGATTCTTTTTCGATACTTTTCTTAAAAAAAGGGAAACAGTCTTAAATGTAATTATTGTGCTTTATTTCACACCAGAACCAGTGCTTGAATTGGAATGAAAAAGGTGCCAGTACTCTAAAATCAGCAACTTTTTCAAGTCAATTTTATATATACAGCCCACAAACAAGAATTTGGCTACTATAATGCTGGTGGGTTTGTCTCTTTACTACTGTATATTTTAGAAAGGTTCACTGTTCTTAACATTTTTTATGATAGGCAGCGGATATGGCTAAAGCTCAGTAAGGTCAATATTAACTGAAAATATAGCAATCAAAGTCTAGATCTTCTGCTGAAGACACATGAAGCAGAGACCTTTCAGGTGAGAGCCCCTCTGGTGCTGTTCAACATTAATGACAAGGAAACAAAGCTCTGGTCAGAAGCATTTTTTATAAAAAGCTTTAACAAAATTAAGTATTTCTGTACATTTTGAATGCAATCTAACTTTCCAACTCAGAAAACGAAAAACGAAAAAGTGCCAAAAGTCTTCTCACATGGCTGAGCTGCTTTGCAATATACTTCAGCACTGAAGAATACAAATATGTATATAGTAAACTATGATGCAATCTAACTTTCCAACTCAGAAAAATGATAAAGAGCATGAACAAAGAACATGTAAAAACAAATGCAAAATTTGCACAATCTAAAATGAGAAACTGTAACTGCAAGTAACAAAGTCTGAACCATGGTAAAGAGTTACATTGAACACCAAGCTGATCAGATAACTCCCTGGTTGGTCTGAAGTCCTTCTATCTCCAGGATCTGTACAAATCGGCACATTATGCCAAAAGTCTTCTCACTGGGTGAGCTGCTTTGCAATATACTTCACATTGTTAGAAAAGGCTCCAGAAGGCCATGGGGACATCAGTATCAGGGGCTGGAGCTGGACAGGCTCTTTCATCAGCACTTCTCCTTCCCTTTGCCAGCCAGGACCTCACATACTGTTCCGGATTGAACTGTCCTAGTGATGGTCCATTACATTTAATGAAAACCAGGCTGGACAGTCGGCTGACAGAGAGAGCATTCCTTTTTGCAGTAAGGATATCGTTCATGCAGCTGAATGCCCGCTCACACTCACTAGTGGAGACAGCGATGGTTCGGACTGCTTTCAGTAGAGGCTCCATGGCAGCAGGTGTACGGGATGCCCTGGTTTCCTTGTATTCGCGAAAGCCCTGAACAGTCTCTCTTCTGTCCACTTTCAGCACTTCGCACAAACGTAGCACCTCTACGTCCCCATACTGTACGTCTAACTCCTCTTCAGGCCAACTTCCAGGATGGATAACTTTCATGTCCTGGATTAGCTGATTGTCCCGGGCCTCCCGGCCATGTAATGGGATTTCTCTTGTGCTGACATGAGAGGAGGTTGTGGAAGTCATTCTGTGTCTCAGATTCTCTACCATACTGCGGAAAAACTGACCTGCATGAATCTGTACAAGCCTGCCATTCTCACGCAGGGCAACACCCTTGAAGGACTTCTCAGCTAGAGCTGTATGAACTGTAGTCATGTGTGGGCCAGGCATGGTGACCATGGATTCAAAAACTCGTATTTCTCGAGTTAAGAGCCTATCTGCTGTAGGCAGTGTCATCTCTCTTTTTTGGAGTTGCCGAGAGAGGTCGCTGAGCTCTGTGAGCGCATCGTACATCAGTCCCAGATTGCTGACAAACGTTGCAGATGTGAGCACATCATCCAGGCCCTTGTACTTTGCTCTGTCTCTGGAATCCCTGCTCGTGTCGTTTGCAGCATTTGTGAAGTGATCATGAAGCACTCGGTAGTTTTCCCAGACTGCTCTGACGCTCCTTTCACTTGAAGCCACCCAGCGGATGGACAAAACACGCCCTATCACCAGGAGACGCTGTCCGACTGCTTGCGCACACTGCGCTAACTGCCTCTGATTTTTGGGGGAGGCATGGAACAAGGAATAGAGTTTGTCAAAAAAGATCTGGAAATGATTGAGCCCTGAGACCTCTTTGACCACATCCCCAACTGCCAGCTCTAGACGATGATTGGAGCAGTGCCACACAAACAGGCTTGGGAATTTACTACACAACTGGGTAGCAACGCCTGTTCTCTTCCCTAGCATGACTGAAGCCCCATCACATGCAAAAGAAACGAAACACTGACCTAAAAAGTCCTCGTTAAAATCTCTTCCAAGACACTCCATTAACGCCTTTGTGATGTCATCAGCCGTTGTTCCATCCAACTCGATCAGCTCCCAAAAAAACGTTTCGGGCTCAGCATCAGCTAATGCTGAGCGTAGACACACAACAAGCACCGTTTTACCACTAATAGTGGTAGATTCATCGACCAAAACACAGAGTTTTCTTTGGTTTTCTGTAATGTCTTTTGCCATTTTTTTCTTCAGCTCATGAGCTATGTGGTCGATGATTTCGCCACAGGTTTTATTGGAGTGCAAAACCCTGCCCACGTTCAGCCCATTCAGTTTCTGTACATTCAAATCAATTGGCATGTCTGTGAATGGCCGGCTATGTTTGCCAATTTTATATGCCGTTCGAAAAACTCTGATAGTGGTGTCTAATTCAGATTTATGCATAGACTGCACTTGATGTTGAATAGTTTCACGTGAAGCAGATGTAAGGATGTCAGCAGCTTTTACATGGGCTTGTGATTCTTTATGTTCTTTGATTTTTTTTCTCAGGCTAGCTTGTTGTTTGCCCTTGTCAACACCGAAATGAGACACTGCACACTCACCCCATTCAGTTGACAGTTTCAGTCCTTGTCCAGTGTGTATTCCCAAAGATTTGACATCTCTGCATATCCGACATCCTAGCTTCTTATCTTTAAGAAGGAGCCATGCATTGGTCTTGCAAAAATATTGCACCTGCTCCGTTGTCCAGCAGTCAGGTGCATCGCTTTGCCCGGTGTTGGTGGTGGCAGTTGAGCCAGCAGCAGCTAACGTTAGAGGCTCTGGAGGAGGCGGCGGAGCTAGTGCTAATGCTAATGCACTAGAACTTGGAGCAGGAGGATCAACCAAAGAAAGCTCCCCATCAGACACAATTTCCAACACAGGCACAGCATTCTCTGTATTTGAAGTTTCTTCCGGCGACAACCGCTGTCTTTTTGCACTTTTATTAATCCACGCTAACATTTTAGAAATGCTAATTTGTGACGTGACTTGCTTTCCTTCTCTCGGGGGCGTGCCTGCTCTGTTCTATCACTCTACATAGCCACCCACTGGGTGGGAGTTGCACTGCATAAACACAACACACGTGCATCTAGGTATGTAAATTGTAAAGCATTAAAACATGGTTTTACTAACAGTTTTCAGTATGTTGTTACTTCGGCATTATTATTATTATTATTTTGAAACGTGTATTACTATTAAATCACGGTCAAATAGGTTAATTTTGACATAGTCGTTTCCACCACAGTATTTACATGGAGAAGATAAGCCCCGCCCCCTCTCCAGCACGTTCTGTTTGAATGACAGGAGTAAACAGCTGACAGCCGCTGTGAAACTCCAGCGGTTAGAGCGATGAGAATGTCCGTTCGGCACCTCATGACGCATCTACTGAGTACCGGGCGGCTGTATATATATATATGGATGTATAATAAGAACGGCGGGAGAGTGTTGAGTACTGGCACGGTGCATGAGTACCGGAGTACCGCCAGCATGCCGGTACTGAGCAAGAAGTGCCGGTACTCCATGGGTCAGAACCAGAAGTGCCGGTACTGCGTACCGGTGAGTACCGGCCCAATTCCAGCACTGACCAGAACCATAACCATAACACAAACTTGTAAACAATGAGAACAATAAATAAAATAAATGACAAGAATTCGTATTAAATAAAATTAATACATGTCTCACAGACAGGCCTCGTGGTGTCCGTAGGCTTGCCCTCACTGTCAGAGATATAGCTCAAATACTTCCAAATTTCGCTTCTGGCGTCTTTTTTGTCAACAAGCCGAGGCGCAGCGGCAGCTGCACTCCCACTTGCAGCCATCCTTCTCGTTTTCTCACATGCTCTGGCAGCTAGCGCGTGCACGAGAGAGGGGAGGCACTTAGAGCGTGCTTGAGAGGGGAGGGACTTAGAGCGTGCTTGAGAGGGGAGGGACTTAGAGCGTGCTTGAGAGGGAGGGACTGCAGGCAAGGCTGCAGTGCAGGGAGTGGAAGCAGAACGCTGAACACACACGGCTCTTATTAAAACGGCGCTTTCTCACCGGAGTACTTTTCCCCGTCATTCTTAAAGTACCGATACTAATGAAACGGCGGAATCGTAACGTTTTTAACGGCAGGGTATCGCGGTACCTTTCAAGTATCGGTACACCGTGCAACACTAGTCAGGAGTCAATGTCTCTCCCCCAAACTCACACATATACAATTCGATATGAACTGAAGAGCCGCATGAAACTAGGCAAAGAGCCGCATGCGGCTCGAGAGCCGCGGGTTGGCCACCCCTGCTCTAGTCTATTAATATAAAACCCACACTGCTCAAACTTAAAATAAGTTTCCTAAAATTGGTATTTGTATCTATTTTTTTTTCTTCATTATCATAAAATAAATCTCACATACCCCCTGCAGTACTCCAACGTACCCCTAGGGGTCCGCGTACCCCCATTTGAGAACCACTGCTCTAGAGGCTATATTGCTATTAACATTAGAAGCTATTAGTGTCTCTGTCCTGCTTGACCTTTACCAAGTAGTGCAGCAGTTGTGCTCTGCTGCCTTTGATAGGCCAGATGATGGGAGGAGGAGAGGAGGGCGGGGGGAAGAGGTGTGGAGCTACCTTGGGAAAACTGCGTTCACGTGTACGCATGTAGAAGACGAACGATTCAGTGGAGAGTAAACTCTGTGGTTGCTGGGAGGTTTTGATGCTTTTAAATGGACTGTATGTGCAGTGCAGATGTATTGATGACTCAGCCTAATGGTATTTTCAACTGCAGTATAATGACATTTACAGTAATGCTTTCCACAACATGGACAGTATCCTGTCATGGCTTCCTGATTAGTGTGTAATGCAGGCTCAGTGTCAGTTAATTTCTATCTAAAGCTGCTTTGGAGGAAAATATGGATTTGCTGCCTCTTCGCTAACTTTGCTAATTCATCAATAACTGATATTTGATACCTTCATTTATTGATTAGTGTGCAAGATGATCATCAATCATATGCTATTTCAAAGAAGTTGTATGCAAACCTTCATTTCAAACTAGAAAAACATCAATCATGATGTTTGGGATATTTTTAAGAAAGGAAAGCTGCAATAATAACATTAATTTATAATATATGAAATGTGTGCAATGTAAATTGGGGAGCTCATAGTGTCTTACCACATAATTTCTGCAATTTCTCTCAACTCTATGGAGTTTTAAAGTTTCTGCCAGCTCATTGTTTTTGTATTACAACCCACGACTGCTTTGTTTGAATCTCACGCTCATAGCATTGTTTCTTTCCATCCACACCAGGCAGATGTTTACAGAAACAACCAACCATTACCTCTCAGACATACAGAGTTAGCAATAAGCACAGTGGAGCATTTTGCAGCTAAACATCCAGATATATCCCTCAGGAGGTGGTAGCCGCAAAACAGGGCTCAAGGATGAGTGAATGTTGCACTTACATTAGTCAAATAAATAATGAATGATAATGTGCCTATACTGTATGTTTGTCGCATTTGTAAATATGGTGCTAACACGTTTGCTCGTGACATAATGGTGATGTTATGTTCACAGCTTGTTTCTGCTTCACTCAATGGGACAAAATAATCACACCATAGTTCGCCAAAAGTATACCTTAATTGCTCTTTATTTACGTTATCACAACACAATATATATGATGTAATGCAGTTATGTTGTTCAAGTATTTTCACCTTTCAATCACAATACAGTAGCTCAGGTTTTAATATAGCAATCAATGGAGAATCGTAAAGCTAATGTCTTGAGCTGAAATCATTTAACAATTCATTAATTGTTGAATTATTTTTTCGGCAACATTGCAGACAAGACTATTTGAAGTATCTCAAACATGGAGATGCCCTTTTTTTATCTGTTTCATATCATATTAAACTACATGTATTTTGGATTTCGATGAACCAGATATTTACCATTTTGGTTTTATTATAAAAACAAGTGTTAGCTTCAGCCTTGAAAAAAAATCACATATTTCCATTCTCTCACAGAAGAAACATTATTAATTGCTAAACATGCATTTAATCTTCTTGAGATCGCACAAACAATCCCATTCAGCTGTGATCTGTGAAGCGTGTTTGTGTGTATTCATGTTACATTTACATAGATTTATCATTTCTTTCAAAAGTAATCCTTTGTTTGCGACTAACTTTTCAGTTTGCACCATATCTTCATGATTGCGTTCACTCTCCTGTCCCATCTAATTCTCAATGTTTGCCTCTTCCTCCCGCCCTCAGTGACTTTGTTTCCCTGGACGAGCGCAACCAGGAGAAGAACAACCAGTTGGGTTTCGACGTGGCGGAGAGGGAGTTCGGCATCTCGCCCTGCATGACTGGCAAAGAGATGTCCTCTGTGGTGGAGCCAGACAAGCTCTCCATGGTCATGTATCTCAGCCAGTTCTATGAGATGTTTAAGGACACAGTGCCACCCGGAGGTGAGATTAGGCAATACACTGCAGCTGCTGCTTCTGTATTGTGGTTATTGGACTTGTCTGTTATTACATAAGTTTTATCTTCTGACAGAGGCTTTGAAAACTTAATTACCCATAACACTGAGAGGATTTAAAGCTCTTAATGTTTTTTCCTTTGTGGATTTATTTTCAGATAACCACAACATGAGTCCTGAGGAGAAGGCAGCCCTGATATCCAGCACTAAATCCCCCATCTCCTTCCTTAGCAAACTGGGTCAGAGCATAGCAATATCCAGAAAACGAAATCCCAAGGTCAGTGTCTGAGAACAACCTCGTCAAAATGATGTTCCCACGCAACTTAACTGCATTCTAAATTATGTTTTGAGAGAAATGTATTTTCTCCCGGATTACAGTCACAGTTTTGAAAATACAGTACATTTAAGAACAAGCATGCAACAAAACTACTTAAAATAGGTCCAGGATGTTGCTTAAATTAAGTACCTTTGTTACATTATTTCAATTACTGATGTAAAATGCGAAAATAAGTCAATGATGATTTATTGGTTTAACACGGCACACAAACAACTGTCCTGTGACCGCCACGACCGCAATTTAAGGGAATATACATTTCCTTTCAATTGACAATGCAGTAATGTTCTATTTGACTGCTGAATAAGTGCCTGTAAGCAACCCTTGATTTGACCTTGAAAAGTCATTACTTCATTGTTGTAGTATGGAGTACAAAATAACTCATGACGTGTCACCAACAGGACAAAAAGGAGAAGGATGTGGATAGTTTGGGGAAGAGAAGGAAAACCAGCCAGTCTGAAGACGTGAGTACTTCTGACAACAGCACATCTCAAATGTTGAGAATGTGATATTTGGTTGGAGCACAACGTCTGACCAGAACATTGTAATCAATCCCAGTAGACTGTCAGCAACAAGATTTCTACTTTCTCACAGGAGGAGGTATCCAGGTCCGGTCGCAACGACAGGCCTTCAGTCCCAGCTGTCGTGATAGAAAGAAAAATGGAGTCCTGTGCTTCGGGGAACCACAACAAAGTCAAAGTCATGGCCACCCAGCTGCTGGCCAAGTTTGAGGAGAACGCTCCACAGCCTTCAGGACTCAAACGACAGGTATGGAATAAATCATGTGGCTCTTTTTCTGGTGTAACAGCTGGCAACAAGAAATATGTAGTCAAACCTTTTGATTACTTTTTCATTGTGGTTTGTTTTTCCCCCACAATGAATATTTTCATGAACATGTAGGTCTCTCGCTGTGTGACAGGGCCTCTGGTCTCATGATTGAAGAGCTGTAGGCCACTGTATTAATGAGCTGAGCTCCAGAATGCTAATGTTGGTCAGGCTGGGTATTGTTCCTGTGTCATGTAGGTGGCCTCGAAGTGCTGACTGGGCCTGGATGGCTCGGTGAATGGGTTCGCAGAGCTTTGGTTTGCTTGCCACTGAGAGTGGGAGGGAGGAGTGGGCCAAAGGGAACACTAGAGAGTATTGTTGATGGAGAGAAAGAAACTCTCCACTGTTGAGAAAATGTCTTGTTACTGTATGTCTTGGAATAGCCTGGATTTGACGTTTTGTTTTAAATATAAGCTTATTTTTGTATTGCTTTGGCTAGAGGAAGTCTTTTAAATTCATCAATGAAATACCTGATTATGTTTACTTACGCCATAAAGGTCATTTACTACTGTAACAAAAAGCCAGAGTTTGGTGGCATTGTAAAGAAGAATGGGATCATTGGAAAATGTTTTAAATTTGGGCGGAGAATTATTCGCATGGATTCACATACAAAATTTGAATTTAGACAGGTTGTAGGGAATTTGTTGCCACTAGAGGCCACTAAAATTACCCGTTTACTTGATAAAAAAAACAAGGATTTATTTAGGTGTGAAATTAAAACCTTTTGAAAATCGCTTAGATATTACTCCAAATATATATGACAGTCCTTGTTGTTGTTTTAACTGTTTTAATGCAAAATCTTACATACCTTTTTAAAAGTATCACATCTCTGAGCTCAGTGGGGAAGACTTTCTAAATGCTGAATAGTGGAGCAGTTGCTGTTTATTCACACATTTGTATATTTCCTCTTTTCCATCTATTTTTGATGTACGTTCTGCATGGTATTTATTTACTGTGTACAATGTTATAAATATCCCCATAATCTCTCAGCATGATCTTCTCATGACTCTGCCATTTCCTTATCGGTTCCTTATATATTTTTCCATCTTCTGTGACTCCATCCGCCCTTGATTCACTTCCTTCCTTTTCTCTCCTGGATTACACCTCCCGTCATGGACCATTTCATGATGCTTTGCATGGTTATTCGGGGCTTCTCACTGGCCTCTCTTGCTGTCACTCATCATTATCTGACCTCAAAGGGGGACTCGCTGCCCAATCTGGACCAACTTTTGCCCACTAGCCCACCCCAAAGCCCTGTGAATGAGCCAGTGCGCCTGGCGCCTGTCCCAGCATGGAGAAAGGTAAAGAGTAGAAACGCCCCGCCTCGTTACCATAGAGACTAACCACTAGACTGACCTTCTAACCATATGTCCCTGTGGTGTGTCGTAGTGGGACAGCTGCTTTGTGCTAGCCTTTTAGTCCGAGCCTCCCTTTCTCTGTAGATATTGTACAGTTCTGAGATGTGTAGGAGTAGCTCTTTTCGTGTGGTTAACAAGTGTTTTAACCAATCAAATAGCTGTATATGTGTGTTTCTGTGTGTGTGAGAGATACACAAGAGTTTGTCAGCTTCATGGTTTATCGTTGCTTCTCCTGTCCTGGATCAGAGACGCACTCAGCAGCAGGAGCAGCTGAGCATTCGCTACAAAGAAATGATCAAGGGTCAGCCCAACAGAGGGGAGCAGGTACGGTTAGCCTAGCTGCCCTGGTAGTCCTCCAACTCCTGCCACATCCCATTAAGTCCAATTCAACCCCCTTTTAGATGGAAAATAATTGGCCTTCCTATCAAGAAGCAAGGGGAAGGGAAGGTAGCCTCACTAATCCAGGCAACTGTTACTCCTGTATTAATTTAACAGTGGAAAACATCCACTGAGAACCAAATAAGCCCAAAGTAGATCAATCAGCAACATGTTCAGATGGTGACTCCAAAACGTTGTCAATAACTGAATGAACCATGTGTTTTGAAATCTTATATTAAACATTATTCTCCTATTTATTGTAACCAATTCATATTTGAAGGCAAAGACCAGTGAGAGTCAGTCCAATGCTGGGTTTGTTTATAAGGATGAAGGAAGGGTTCAGGTTAAAAGTACAGCCATAATAATTACCCAATGCATGTTAAAAGAATGCAAACAGACAGGTTATATTTTGGGCTTTATATTCATAGGATTATTATCTACAGTATGCTAGCCAAAATATCCTGTTGTTTCTCTCCCACAAGCCCTTTTTGTTGTGTTAAATGTAACTTTAAGTTATTGAATTACTCCGAGTCCTTCTGGCAATGCACATTGTATGCCGCTGCTGCAGCCCTGTTATGCATTTAAAAATACAAATAAAAGGCCTAATCTTTTGTCAACAAAAGTTAAAATAACATATTTTAGTCTGTTTTAGTCTATTATCACAGTTACTTTTTGACTAAGTTATGGGGAAGTTGTAGTCATAGATTTAATTTAATAAAATGAATACTGTTTAAAAAAAACTGTAGTTTTGCTCTGTAGACATTTTTTTCATAACATTTTCTTCACCAAATAGCTTATCGTGTATCCTGGAAGCGTAACAAACCTGTTACATTTCTTTACAGATCAAATATTGTTGAAGATCTTTTATGGCTTTTGATTTAAAATCTACATTCTGGAGTGTTCTTCATCCCTACATCTTGCTGGTGTGCTTTGCAAATTGTGGCCAATTGTTGATTAAGTGAATCATTTGAAAAAAGTGACCAGATAAAGAAAACAGAATAGTCTCTACTGTATCTATGATGTCTACCTTCCACCTCTTTCTTGTTGCTTTTTCTGCCACTTTTCTATGACCTCCAGTTCAAGTTTCCCTGCTACTGCCCTCAACCTTTAAAAGTAAATATAATTAAGTTTTTTTTTTTGTTAGACACCAACCCGAATCGTAGATGTGTAAAAATGGTGTTTACTGAGAAATATGATCCACTGTATATCCACTCCTCCAGCCTCAGTAGAAGGCCGTCTATTGCCAGCAGGCCTGTCTGGTTGTCTTCCTGCTTTACTGCTCTCTCATGTGTATACTCAGTCATCACAGTGAAGTGCCAGCACCACTTTTCTCCTGCTGATGCTTAGAAAGTTGTATTTTTCGTTCTCGTCACTAGATTAGGCATGCACCTCACAGACATTGATTTGAAGCTTCAAACTCTCCTCTTTAAAGGGATTTTAATTCACTGCTGTTCTTAAATGTCTTCTCATTGCACGGTAATTCTCTAGCTGCAGAGTGAATTAGCTCTGAGTCAATTGTAAAGACTGGAATAATCTTCATAAACCTTAAACACTTCACTACACTAAGTGAATAGGATATCATTTTTAAGCCACTCTTATGTTCAGTGTTAATTATTTATATTGGAGAAGTTTTGTGAATAATTAAAAGTTAATGGATTCCCTCTTGTGGATAGTTTTTACTGTCCACAAGAGGGACAGTAAAACATTTGTTTTGACTATGTTTATCTGCCAAATGCAATGTGTGGGTGGTCTGTTTTACTTTGTGTGTCCAGCATTATTAAAGCTGCCTTGAGTGGGAGCCCACACTAATTCTATTAACCCAATGGATTGCTAAATTTGTGCTGACTGACGCAAATATCCTTGCATATAATTTTACCTCTGAGTTTTACAAGCTTTTAAAAGCATTATGATTTATTAGCCTACTGTGACTTAGAACAATAAGAAGTGTGAAGCATATTTAGTTTTAGCGGTATCACTTTCATCATCATTCTTATCATTTTCTGCTGAATCTGCTGTTCCTGTCCCTCATCTCTCAAGGCCAGAAGTGGTGCAGACCAAGTGTCCAGCTCGGGCTCTCGGAGCTGCCCAAAGAAAACCATTCTGCTCCCTTCTTCCTCCTCCACTTCTTCGCTCTCTCTTCACTCAGAGGTGACAAACAGCCTGCTGTCTCTGTCTGTTTCTGTCTGTCTATCTCTGGCTCAAATCCACGGCACACCCATTTACTGTCGCATAACCCCAAATCCCCTTTTTTGTTCTCTGTACCTCAGATTTGATGTCTGCAGTGCATTAATAAAAACAAAAGCTGCATTTTCTCAAATGCACTTCCTAGAGAAGTTTGAGTCTTTTTTACTGAGTGAGTAGGTGGTGTTTGTCAGAGGAGCTGCTTGTTTTCATGCCGAAGGGTATGTTGTTTGGATTTGGCGGCTTGTAAATAATTGTCGACTCAGGGGACCTTGGGTAGTTTTAACTTTTTGTCAGGCACTGTCAATAATTCCACACAGAAAGCTATTCTCAACTTTAAGTAAGACTGCTTAAGCCCGATGAAAAACGTGTTGATACGGTATCTACTCATTTCTGCCTTCAAGCATTTGCGTAAAAGTCCGGAAGAAGAGACTCTTGAATACTACGAGATGCCTCTGAATTACGGGGTACAGTAAACGAGTGATAGCATGGATGTGTGTTCAGCTTGTTGTTGGCATTTATTGATGAGTTATTATGGATGGAAAACTGACTTCCAAATCAAAGTTTTTATTTATTTAAAACAATTATATCAGCCCTTTAGCTGCAACCAAAATCAGTATCAAGTCTCACTAGAGCTATCTTGGCAGGAAGGGAAGCTGCCGCACCTGACTGAGCCAAAACCCATTCACATACCTGGTATACAGGAGAGGGCTGACCGCCTAATCTCCAGGTTTAAGGGCAAACCTGACAGACCACCAAAGGTGAACACTGTGCATGGTTTTCCAAGTGGCATTAAGTTCTTTGGGTACATTTTTGTATGTTAAGGGCATGCTATTGGTGTGCGTGTGCACATCCTCCTAAGTCTAATTCCATCAACCATTCCTTTTTTCCCCCTGGAGCCTAAGACAAAGCCGTCCCGTTTCTTTATAGAGCAGTGGCACTTGTCCAGTGGCGGGACTGACAGTCCTGGTTCACCACTTTCCTCTCCTGAATCTTCCAGAAAGGTTAGGTTTTGGTGCTGTGGACTCACTCTAACAAACATACAGTATGGAGGTTTTTACTTTCGACAAAAATACCTAACCCAAAGTCTTTTAATTGTCTTCAGTCCTCGTTTATACTTCTCTTATTTCAATTTTTTGCTAGGAATTGCTGTTGGGCAGCTTCACTAACTGCAGGGCATTGCTTTCATCGTTTATCCACACAGCTTACATTTCTGCTTGAATTAAAGACTGACAGCTGGAACTATGAAAACAATGGCTTACAAACCATCTGTGACTTTTCTCTCAATATCAAGCTTTTTTGCAAAGGAAGTTGTTTTTGGAAACTACTAAAAACGCTAAGAATAGCTCAAATGTTACTCTTTGTAAATCCCTTTGTGATTGAATTATATATTTTTCTGCAGGAGCAAGCAGGGCCTCTGCACACAGATGATGAAATGCCCTTATATGTGCTTAGTATTCAGGAGAGGGCTAAGCGACTTGCCTCTCAGTTTGAGGACAAGCCAGCCCAACCAAAGGTGACCATTTACCACAGAAAGCTGATAATTAATAGTTATACATTACACATTTTTGGGAGTCTTGCCCTGTTGGTCAACTTAACCTTCTTAAGAGTAGACACCAGAATTATCCATGTTTTCCCAGTAGGTTATCACAGTTTAGCAGGTCAGTACACATCATTAGGCTTAACTAGTGAGTATTAGAGTGCAGCATTCAAATAACAACTTATAATGGCAAGAAACTGAAAGTTGAGTGAAATGTATTTGAGGGATAACATTGATCGAAAACAAAAAGTATCTCTGTTTATGTAGTAAATAAATAATGGGAGAATTGCGGGGCTAACCTTGACGACAGGAATATCTACAAACTTTTTATTTGAAAGATATGAACATAAACTTTTAACAGCTGTAGGGTTATTATTAACATTTCTTTGCTAGGTGCCTACACTTACTCAGCAATTCATGCTAAGACATTAGCATAGAAAACTAGGGAAGGACTTGACGGCTAACGGAAAATACAAAACTAATTAGAATTGTCCTGTCAAGTTCAAGTTAGTTATTTTTTGTATTTTCACAGGTGCCAGATAAATATATTATTGAAACAAGATGGAAAGAAAAAAGGAGAAATGGAAAGAAAATGGAAGTTACAAAGGATAATATAGCTAAACTCAGCAATGTATGCTAGCGTGTAAAACACCTAAGGAATTAAGCTGACCAACAGGCTGCTCTCCAAAGAAAATTGATTAATAAAACATATACATTTTTGTTTCAGAACTCATGTAAAACATTAGTTCATATAATGTTTGTATAATTGTTAAATTTACATTTTACTCTCTGCCTCCTTTTTGTGGAGCCTAAGAACAAACCCTCCCGTGTTGTTATGGAACAATGGCACCTGGCTCGATCTCAGTCCCCCCCTGGTTCTCCCCCCTCCACCTCTGACTCCCTGAGACAGGTAGTTGTCTCACGCCTGCGAGGAATGGTGTGTGGTGATGCTAACACTGAACCTGTTTTTCATGAGGATTTATCATCTCACCTAGTTACAAAAGTTAACACGTCTTAAGCTCCTCTGAGACGTTATTCTAAAAGCTGGCTGCTTGTTGCGAAATATTAAGGAACTAATTTGCAACTTGATAATTGTTTTCTGTGGTTGTTGTGATATGTATGCGGGTGAGTAATCAGTCCTTGTTATGACTGACTATCTGGACAGATATCAAAATATATTCATCTGATGTGCGTTTGAACTTAATTATGATTTCTTCAGTTATTTTGCCAAAGGAGTCCCTATTTGTTGTTTTAGATTAAAAGCGCAGCTTGGCAGCAAAAAATCTCATCTTGTTTAATTCCCATGCAGACGAGCACAGTTCCAACTGTGGCAGGGTAACATTTTTGCAATGCAGTAGGACTGCAAAGCTAGTCAAATCTTATCCACAGTAACAGTTTGCATGGCTCATAGTACATACTGACCTAAATTCTTCCTCTGTATAGGGTGCAACGGCTTTTTGTTACGTTATAATGGATGTAAACCTAATCCTAGATTAATTTAGGATTCAAACAAATAATGGATAAAAACAAACCACTTTGAGTGGTCATTTGCAGCATTTTCTTTTGTTTGTATATTGTTCAATGAATTATGCAACAGTACAGTGTGTGAGTGCCTCTGTGTGTGTGCATGTGAATAAAAAATGCATGACCGCTTTACTGTGGGTGTGTGAGAAAAAATACTGTTATAGTCTTAATGATCAGTGACGGTCCACTTAGTATCCGTTGTCATTAAGAATACTGGGATATTGGATCTTTTTCTGATATATCAAATCCAATAATGCTCTTAGTATGGAAAGCAAATGCAGAGTGAATCTTATCTATTTGAGCTATATTTGGTTTTGCAGTTAGGTGGAACTATTGCCTCGTCTAAGCTCCTGATCAAGCATGGAAGCATTGCCTTGACATGTCTCAAATGTCCTGTCACACACTATTGCTTGTGAACGCTTTCTGTGATTAAGCTCTCCTTTTCCCACTTCCTCCATCTGTTTTCATATTATTATTTTTTTCTATCCATCATCCATCATTTTTCTAATTTTTTTCCACCTGTTTGTCTTTTTTCCTCCCTTATTGATGTTGATAGCGCTATGTAAGGTTGTACACAGGTGGAGTTAGCTCATTGGCTGATCAGATAGCCAATCAGCTTCAGTCTCAGGAAGATCCTAAGCTCCTACCTGAAAAGAAGGATTTGGTAAGCATGCTGCCAGGGGGGTAGAAGGCATGTGGCTGCGCAGATGAAAGCCTTATTGCCAGAGTGTTTTTTTCATGCAATAATGTGTTGTTGATATGTTCGTCTTTCTGTCACAATTTAACTCCATCTCCCTGTAGCTGTAAAGTGTGTGTTTGCTCCACAAGTAAATACTGTTTGGGATACTGTTGTGTTTGTCGATCATTTGCACAATGATCAGAGATCCCTATTCCTACTGACAAATAACCGTTGACTTGCTCTGTTGTGTGTTGTTGTGTGTGTAGCACTTTAGCTAGCATACATCGACAGTGGCCTGGTGTGTGATGTCCATTCAATCTTTGATGTAAACATCGTCTCCTCTCATCTCCTCTCTTTTTCATAAAAACCTAATCAATCTTCAACCTATCCTTCCACAGGGCTCTTTGAGAAAAGAGTTCCCCGTCAACATCGGTGGCAGCGATGTGTGCTTTTTCTGTCGAAAGCGTGTGTACGTGATGGAGAGGCTGAGTGCAGAGGGGAAGTTCTTCCATCGGAGCTGCTTCAAGTGCGAATACTGCAACACAACACTACGACTGTCCTCCTACGCCTTCGATGTGGAGGATGGTAAGACTCTATCATTAAGTTCCTAAACATCGCAAGACCAGAATTAAACTTAATCTCAATTCAACCAAAACGATTTTAGTAAAGAAAAAATACCACATTGCTATTAACTTGTAAATCTAAACTCTAAGACATTGAACTATTTCTTCATTACCTTACCCCACAGCCGTGCAGTCTCATAACTCCATATTATTGCTCTCTGTGAGGTGTCTATTATGCTCACAGACAGGCAGCAGATTGTTTGTTGAGAGACAGTAGCTGTTTTTCAGAGTAAACCGTGGGACTAAAACCCACGCACGTCAGAGCTCAGACAGTAAGGAAGATCTTTTTATTCAAACAAACAAACAGTCTATTTCTGCAGAGGACACACATCCGATGGACTCTTTGAGGTGAAATAAACAGAATATGCTGTGTATATATATATATATATGTATTTATTCATTTGATTTATTTATTGTTTTTTTGTCTGTCTTCTTTTTATCCTGCAGGGAAATTTTACTGCAAGCCCCACTTCTGTTACCGACTGTCTGGCTATGCTCAGAGGAAGAGGCCCGCCCCCTCGCCTACTCCAATCACTGCTAAGGTACCTGTTTCTGTTTACTGGTTAAATGACTGGTGGAAATCAGGAATGGCATGATAATGAATACTTTCATTGTATAGTTTATCTTAAAAATGCACTGCCTAGTAGGGGAACATGTTGATGGCAGGGGAGCGATTTGTAAAAGGGAAAAGGAGTCGTGATTGACTTTCTTCTCATAAAGATTCCTGCTAAATCTTTTACTAAACATCATTGTTTCTTCCTTTTTTATGATAATAACGGATATTTAATGGTTTAAGTTAATCATGTGTTTCTGCTGGCTGATAGTCATTATCAGTATTATGTTCTTGTCTTCATTCCAACTCTGCATCAATCCCTCTTATTTAAACACATTTCAACTAAGCTCTAATAAGATAGTGATAGGCTCTCTAAGTGATTTTCCTTTTAATAAAAATGGTAATTTCAGACACGGAAAATGTGTTGTCACAGAAAGTAATACATATAAAAACGTATTAGAATTAATTAAATGAACAGCAAAATGGTACAGGGTCTGAAGGATGTATTTTGATTCCAGCCAGTGACCTGTTAGCTTGTCACATGCAATAAGTTACAAATGTTGTTTAATAGGCGACTTTTGAATAAACAAGGACAACTTATTTCCCAAATAAGGATTCCTCTGTCCTCACATCTCTCCCTCCCTTCTTAAAATTGCTGAGCTTAGACAATCGGAAGAGACTCGGTGAGAGAAGGCAGGATGCAAAAAAAGGATGAACTACTAACGTGATGGCTAAAGCAAACTAGTCGAAAAAAGATCATGCATATGAGATCAAAAAAGAAGACAAGACAATAACTGATTCATTTGCACGCCACCAACTTCTCATAGTTATATTAAATCGCCCTCTATGTGACCTCTGATTAGGGGTAAGGGCTGTGGTTAACGTCATCTGTCTTTGCAGGAGAACCAGGCGCCCCAAACTCCTACAGCGACCGTGGATGCCCCCGGGAGGGCGATGGCAGCGGCGTCCCCCTCAGCCGAGCTCCAGCCCTCAGGTACCCCTCTTCCCTTTCTTGATGCCCTGGCTGCGCCCTGCCGTCTGGTCAGGGGCATGGGGGTCCGGCTGTGTGACCTCCGCCACACGCTGTCCTGGACCTGCCACCAGGTGGCACGCAACCCCCTAGACTCTCCCTTCCTGTGCACCTACTGCATCTACCTCTTCTGCTGTTTCTCCATCAATGTTCTGCTCAACCTCCTCTAGCATGACTCTTTCTCCCTTTCCTTTGCCAACTAATGTCTGTGGGACTGTGTAGATTTAGCTGACTGTATTGAATCACTGACGGAGTGTTCGTGTAAATCTTCTGATTCTTCGTCTCGGATTGATTTTCTTGAAGATGCAGCATTCTTTCTGTCTCCGTTAGCAGCCATTTTATGACTTGTGATTGGTCGAGGCAGTAAAGCAGCCTCTCTGGCAGCATCATCTTAGAAGTGAATGGTGCATCTTCAATTTATTTATTTTTCTCTTGGCTTGGTAATTAAAATAAGAGTTCTGGTCAGCTCTCAAGGCAGTAATACGTGTAACAAAATTGATAACCCTCTTCCTGTTCTGATTTGATCATTGCAGGAATGTGCCAGCTTTACTACTCAAAACATTTTTGTAAAAATGTATTTTGGCATATAACAATTAGGGCTGGGCGAGATATATCAATACTATATTGTTATTGTGATGTAAGACTACATATTGTCACTTTTGGCATTGTAATATCTGATAGTGACCTTATCAGGTTTTAAAGGTTGCATTACTGTAAGATCATGTTATAGCTGTTTGATCATTTGCCTTTCCACACGCCATTATAACTAATGATCATGTATCAAAACCAGGTCTTGTGTAAATATCTTGTTAAAGTATCAATAGTCAAATATTGTCGCAATGTCGATATCTTGATATATTTTTCTTCATATCACCCAACCCTAATAGCAATACATTTGTACGATATAAGGTTATCACATCACCCTGATTTTTGCCTGCCTGTGTTTTAATGAAAAGCCAAGCTTAATTCTGTTGTGATTGTAACTTCTAGTGCTTTCTTTGACCTCCTCCTCTGTGATGAGTTCCTTTTAGAGCCTGCTTTGTGATGTGTTCCTTTCTCTCTGTAAGCTGTTTTGCACCTACAGTATCCCTCTCACTGACACTCAGAATACTGTGATGAAGTGCCTGTATCAGTGAGCTTTACCTTTCCCCTCCTATCAGAGCACCTCAAAACTGAGAGCTCTACTAGTGCTTGAATTAGTGCCTGTGATTGGCTTTCTTTTTTATTTCTCTCTCCTCCTGCATCTCTCACCCTCTCACCCCACCCCCCCTGACAGAATGCTGCTTAGACACACTTGTGTTTGCTTAATATAGTGCATCTTTGCTACATTCAGTGAATATTATTGTAAAATATAACCAACAAGACCAGAGAAAGTTACACCGAACATGCGGGTAAGATAACAAATAATAATAAATGGAACTTAAGTGTAGGCCTGCTGCATTGTGTAGCAAGTATAGTATTATAATATGAAATATGTTATTCTCGTAATACAATTAATGCTCATTATTTAAGATGAATAAGTATAAATTGGATATTCAAAGTTTACGGTTATGGGTCGCTTTAATTTCAGAGTTTCCGAAGTTTTTCGAAGACAAAAGGAAAACAATAGAGCTTTTTCAACATTTTCCTCCTCTACAAAGAATAATATACCTACAGTATGACACATTCATTGACACACCTATTCCTTTTTTAATTGGGATTTAAATGAGGCCTGATTTAAAATGTCTTCCTAATTGGAATGCAATTTAATCTCTTTTCATGTTATTAAGAAGCGTAGTCAAATGTATGACAACTTTTTTGGATCCATTTCATCCATAATGAGTAACCAAGTCCATTTCAAAGACACATTTTGGAGAAAAACAAAACAGTTTTGAGATTTGCTTCTCAGGATGGGAATAAGGCAAGGCACCACCTGGTACTTACAACTGTAGAACTATTTTAGAGTGGTAAACTTTTCCTGTGTTTGTTGATAATATTGCTGTAGGATTATAATTAATGCAATAAATTCAGTTATAGACCTTAAATTGGTGTGTCCTTGTCAGTTTGTCCTTAAAATTAGAAGTGAAAATGCCTCTGTTACTTTTTGGATGAGGATGGTTTTAATGCTTTTAGGCCCATACGTTCACATCACCAACATAGTCAGAATTATTTGACATAATTACATAGTATTCACAAAATGTTAAACAGTGGATTTGTTTTGGTCCCAGTTGAAGTTAAACACCCTTCTTATCAGCCCTGCATGGCTCCTCACTGCAGAGGGTTACCTTCTGCTCCTCTCCTCTCTATTATTGCGCCTGTCTGACTCTCAGTTGCAATGTTTTGTGCTCTTCTTTCCTCTGCCTTCTTTCCTCCAACCTGCTGCCCACCTCGATGTCATCATTTCACCTGCCATTTCCTCCATCACCATCCCCAGCCCCGGAGGTCAACGGTCTGCAGGAGCCCAGCCTAGCGAAGCGTCTGCGGGGAACTCCAGAGCGCATCGAGCTGGAGAACTACCGGCTCTCCCTGCAGAGGGAGGAGGAGCTGGAGGAGGTGCCTGAGGAGACGCTGGCAGAACACAACCTCAGCAGCGTGCTAGACAAGGGCACGGACGCTGACGACCTGGGCTCCAGGTAAGAGCAGGAGAAATAAAGAGATATGCTGTTGTTGTCTTATGCCTGCCAATTTCCATATGAATGTCACAACATTTAGTCTCATTATTGTTTGCATTCCTACCGTTTGAGTGAAATCCAACATTCTCATTATAATAATACTCAATATTGCACAAATGTTTGAAGTTGCAATAACATTGTATCCTGAGTTAAAGGTCACCTATTAAGCAAAATCCATGTCTTTTATACATAGATATATATCCCCTCTGTGTTGAGATTTGGAAAGTCTCTTTTTGTCTTGATCCATTTATTTAAAAACCTGTCTGAAAATTAGCTGATCAGATTTTAGCCACTTTGTTATGTCACAATGTTTTTTTTGGGTTGTTAAACTGTTATATAATAATCAACCAAGGTAACGCCCGCCCACCTTATCACCTGAATGGCATGCTACAATGCATGATCATGACAAATAATATAAATGGAACTTAAGTGTAGGCCTGCTGCATTGTGTAGCAAGTATAGTATTATAATATGAAATATGTTATCCTCGTAATACAATTAATGCTCATTATTTAAGATGAATAAGTATAAATTGGATATTCAAAGTTTACGGTTATGGGTCGCTTTAATTTCAGAGTTTCCGAACATGACATGTTTTGTCTATATCTGAGACGTATTATATGTTGATGAAAAAGAGTATAAAAGGGTTATAAAAGGCGGTTGATTTTAGAATTGAATTTACCAAACAATTATTATTATAATCTTAGATCCGTTTTTATGAACAATAGAATAGAATAATTGTCAGATATGTTTTAGGACTCTTTTTAATTGTGTTTGTTAATTTCGCTTGGGGTGTCTGAGACATTAAAGACAAAGGATTTCTGACATTTTAAACAATAAGATTTCAATGAAAAATGTAAAATTATAATAATACTTTTTTTTAAAACGACTTGTAGCCCAATGAGTCAGTCTGCATTTGTGCCTTGATAAGTAAAGCAAACTACAAATTCTTAGAGTCCTACAGAAAATGTAAGGCAGCACAGTGCTTGAATATGAAGTCTCTTTCTGCCTCCCACCTGTTCTAACACATCACCGTGACTCTTCTTTTATCCAACAGTAGCTCAGAGTCAGACATGGAGGAGGAGGATGAGGAGCAGGAGGATGCGGAGGAGGGGGAGCAGCATCCTCTCAGCCCCTCAGACCTCGGCGGGGTTCCCTGGAAGGAGGCGGTGGAGCTCCACGCTAAACTGAGGGGCGAAGAGGGAGACGACGTGGGCGAGGCCCTCGATGATGCTGTCAGCAGAGACGGGGAAATAGATGAAGAAGACGAAGAGGAGGAGGATGATGAGGACGAAGATGAGGAGGAGTCAAGCGATGGTAAATTTGTCAGCAGGGTTCCTGTAAAGACCTTTGGTGGATGTTAACATCCAGTCCAGACTCCATTTGTCCTTTGCAGAACTTCAATAATTTTTTTATTGAAATCTGTTTTCTGTAAAGTGTCAGCGTCTTCATCCTCTCTGCTTCTTTCCTCCCTTTCCCTTCCCTCCCTTTCATTACATCCCCCTGTGTGTGTGTGTGTGTGTGTGTGTGTGTGTGTGTGTGTGTGTGTGTGTGTGTGTGTGTGTGTGTGTGTGTGTGTGGTGTGTGTGTGTGTGTGTGTGTGTGGTGTGTGTGTGTGTGTGTGTGTGTGTGTGTGTGTGTGTGTGTGTGTGTGTGTGTGTGTGTGTGTGTGTGTGTGTGTGTGTGTGTGTGTGTGTGTGTGTGTGTGTGGTGTGTGTGTGTGTGTGTGGTGTGTGTGTGTGTGTGTGGTGTGTGTGTGGTATGTGTTTGTGCTATATCTGTTGTCTGTTGGCTCTCTGTCTCCCCCTGCTGGCAGAGGGCGATTACTGCCCCTGGGATAGAGAGCTCACGTCTGGCCTTTGGCTGGAGAAGCACCTCACAGAGGAAGACGATGTTGGTACATTTAAAGGTAGCAGCAGAACTGCCTGTGGATGCGTTTGCAGTTACTTTGAGCGTGATTTATAATCCTGGCTGGTTTGGGTTCTTTTTTCAAGGATTTCTACGACAAGTGTGTGGCTTTTTCTGTTGTCTTTGTTGTTTGTCTGTGTTGTTGTTTGTGGTTGTGTTTTTTGAAGATGTTGTGTTCATAAGTGTGCTTTATCTTAACCCTTTGAACCCCACCATCCGCTGGCGGGCTTGAAAGGCATGTTTATTTTTTTACCGGGGTACTACATAGGGATGTCCCTCACTCACGTACAATGTGTTGGTGCGCCAGCCAATAGAAGCATGAGTGATACGTAGTGATGTCAACATTTCAGGGAAGCAAAAAGGTCTACAATCCAGGAGTTTCAGGCAGGGGAGGAAACTTTAGGATTTTAGCCTTTTTCAGACCATTTACATGCACTCAAATCCTATACAACACATGGAGAGGGAAAACCCCAAAACACATAATGGGGCCTCCTTTAAAGTCTTTGAAGCCTTGAATGCCTCAGCATTGATCAACAGTCAGGTAACAACAATTTTGTACAGAGGACAGGACAAGAGAGGTTGTGAAATTATTATTATTATTATCATCGATGACATTTAATTTGTGCACTGCACAACAGACGTCGCAGACGATGCTTTTCCCATAGAAGTGAAAGGTTTATAAAAATGAGGCCACATTGAGTAAAATGCGACAGGATGCCCTAAAACTGCACGGGGTTCAAAGGCTTGAGGACTTACTGAGAGTTGTATCCCAATTCTAACCTGTTTAACACCTCTCTGTTTGTATATGGCTATAATAAACTAATCTGATAAATGTCCGAGATTTTTGTGATTTCCCCCCAGGCGCTGCAGCTATGTTTTGGTATTGAATTGAATCGTTGAATTGAAATCTATTTATTTCTTTGACCTCATATCTTTGCAGCTCCCCTTTTATGGTTTGACTTTTCTTTTGCAGTGTATGCATGCAGCCTTCCTCTACCTGGCCTTTCTGATGATTTTCTTTTGTTTTATTGCGAGTGTATTCTAATTTGTATCTGCCTTCTCTCTTTCCTTTTTGTCCTCTCTTTTCCTTCCACTGTTACTTCCTGCACATCTGCTTCCATCCCTCTCGATCCGTCTCTGATCTCTTGGTTCACACACAACTTCGCATCAACACCAAAAACACAACTCCACGCTAATATAGCCAGGAGCATACAGATCCAACAAGTCCTGCAGCCTGTGGATCCCACGGCCATACCGGGCCTGGTGAGAACACACCTGGACTCTGAGGGAGACAAGGAGGCACAGCTGGCCTCCCAACTCTCCCGCTCCACAGGTAACCCTCCCCCTCAGAGGAGCACGGGATGGCTCACAGGGATAAGGATGAGGGTGTCTAAACTCACCAGCGTGGCTGCTGCTGTCCTGTATGTCTGCACCTCCCCACTAACCCACCTTTTTTGTTTTAATCATCTCTGATTTTTGTCTTGGAATGTCTAATTTTTGTGTTCATTTTTTTTTTTTAAGTGTGTCATTTATTGTCTCTGTGGTGAACATTACGTCCCCTGTCAGTTTTTGTTCTTTTGTGTTCTGCTTTGTTCCTTCTCATGTGTCTAATTACTTTACTTGTTATTTCCCCGCCATCTATCCCTCGTTGTTCCCTATCGTCTGGTTTGAACGTAGCCCCCGCCCACACATCCGCCCGACGTGAGGCAGTGAGAGTCTGGTTGGAGTCCTTGTCTGGAGGTAGCACAGACTAACAAAAATAAAAAAGGGGGATCATTGGCATCCCGTCTTAGACTCGTTCTCTATCTCTATCGGCTGGCCTTTTCCTGGAGCATGCAGACACACTCGGAGCCCAGCACACTCACAAGCATGCACGGTGCAGGGCTGTCGCTCCAAAAAGTTCAGCTTTCTTGGGGTCAAACTTCACTTCCCAACCTCTCAAACCTACCCTTCCAACTTCTCTTCACTCACAATACCATGTTGCACTGCATTGTAATGTATTCCAATGTATTCCAGAAACAGACGAGTCATCAAGATGCAAAATCACTTAACACCACAGTGTTTCTTTCACCGGGAATTGGCCATTGTTTTAACCCATTCACGGCACTTTCACTTGCAAAAAGTCTGATATTGAGGCTTCTAAGGTAGTTTTATCAACTTTTATAGACTTAACTGAGAATAAATGAGAGTCCTATGTATTTGGATTTATAGGCACCACTTGACTTTGGAGTTAAAAGCTTAGTAATGTCCAACTAGATTTAAATATTCCCTCAGTATCTGCCTGTGTTCCCACATGGACAAAGGTCAATCGAGTGTATTTGGCAGAAATGAGGGTTAATGTATTATTATAAAAAAAAATGCAGGAATTAACTGTGTGAGACACTTTTCCCTTTCAGTCTCTCCCACCAGATTTGTTTTACATGATGAATTATTGTCCTTCACTTAACCAATGTCATTAACATTTTGGTTGTGCTTATTGCTTGGTTTAACTGCCTCCATTTGCTCCTTTAATGGATATCTGCATGTGTCTGTTCACTAATGCTACTCTGTGGCTAACCTTTGTTCATGTTATTCGACTGACTTATTTCATTTGTACGCATAACTTATGTATGATTTTCTTGCCGGAGAGCTTTCCATTAAAGCTTTCCTCCGAAAAAAAAAGGATTTTGGTTTTGAAGCCTTTTCATCCTTTTTCAAACTTTATTTTTTTTCATCTTCACATTCTGCACTCTTCTTTTAAAAGTGGTTTCATTAAGTCATCTTTGAACTCTGGTACTCTTTTATTTTATCCTTTAACATTCAGCCTGAGGCGAGTATCTTTGAGGAAAATTCAGTTAATGTTAGGAAGTTGAAAAATATTTTCTCTCCGTAGCCTGAAGAGAGAGGTTGTCACACAGTCTGCTCACTTTGCTTCACTCTTTGTCAAACCAGAGCCCTGTGAGGATGATGATCTGGAGGCAGAAGCAGACAGTCCAGATATGGAGCCGGGAACAGAGATGGATCAGGGTGAGCTGTCAAAATAATACAAATATGGATCCATCAATTCTTATAATACTTATTGGGTTTACAAAGAACTCTGCTTTGCTACAATACCATTTAAAAAAAATGACAATATGAAGCTTTGAAACAACTTAAAATGTCATATTGTTCTCCTTGAATTCAAGATGACATCCCTTCAGATGCAGAAGCTGAGGCTCGCTTGCATCAGTCCGAGTGCGTTGACGTGCTTCCTGAGGAGGACAAGAGATCAGAAAGTCAGAGAATGCCCTCCAGTATCGGTACGTCCCAAATAATTCATGTGAATTGATCCCTCAGTAATATTTTAACATGATTAAAAACAAGTACTATTTCTTTTTTATTTGTGCATTCAGACGTTTTCAACGCCAGCCCCACTCAAAATAAAGATGTTGTTCTTTCGCCGCTCAAACCTTCTCCAGAGCTCGAATCAAAGGTGAGATAACTTTGCAATTATTACGCTAAAAAAGGGCCGGGCCATATGGCTTATAAATAATATTTTCATGTTTTTAGGCTATGCCAGGATATCTGATATATATTGCTTGATATTTTCATAGTAAACAAAACTGAACGCTTATAGTGGTGTGCTCTAAAGTTGATGATTGAAAATGTATTCTCTAATATTAAGTTATTATTCACGAAATTAATACAAATTCAGTTTTGCAGGCATTGTTGACTGACTAAAAAGAATGTGAAATTGTCTATCATGTTAACCTGATAGTTACTTTTATTTTGAAGGAACTTCGAATTTCCATTTACTGTAAGAATACTTACTTATTAATATACACAGACCTCAAAACAACACGGGTCTAATTTAACCGTTTTTTAACCTTCCATTTCTGAGTGCTTATGAACTTGATTTGGAGTTCCACTTCTTGTGCCGTCTAGGCTCTTTCCTTTAGTCTGCTTTCAGTTTAGACTAAATCCTGATCGTGTCTGTTTCCTTTCCAGATAAGTCTGTTGAAGTCTCCTGGCAGTCGCTTTTTCCCAGATCCATTCATATCTGAGCAAAGGGAACCTGAAAGGACTACGCCATCTTACTCTCCAACTGCACAGAGCCCACTGAGCCCTTCACCTGCTCCAGTCCAGGACCCTTCCTCTGTCCCTTCCCCAACTGCTGCTGCTTCCCCTGTCGGTGTCCCGGCCTCCTCCCCCCTGGGTTCACTCATCAAATCACCCATCAGCTCTCCGGTCAAGCCAACAATGGAGTCCCCCATTAGATCCCCTGTTAAGTCACCTGTTGTGTCCCCAATCTGCTCTCAGCCCACCCCCCTTCCAGAGACTTGCACACCTAAATCTCCTGTCTACCCTCAGCGCTCAATTTGCCCTCTAACTGGGAACCCCCTCTCCCCAATCTGCGCTCAGCCTTTGCCCTGCCAGGAGCCTTCGTCACCCCTCCTATCAGACTCTCCCGTCAGATCTCAGCCCATCCCCGGAGTCACTTCTACACCCATGACCAAAACAGACAAGGTCATGCCTGATCTCTCAAAGTGCGAAGACTCCTCCACAGAGGAAACGCCATCCAAAAAGACAGACATCATTGAGGAATTTTGGCAAAAGAGTGCCGAGATCAGGAAGAGCCTCGGGTTGACACCTTTGGACCGCACAAGTAAAATCTTAGAGAAGAGTGTTGTGATATATCCAGCACTGGACTCCACCCCTGTAAAGGCTCTGGATGTGCCCGAGGAACAGAAGCCCGCCTTTACTGGCCGAGCTGTCATTCGCAGGCTGAACATCACTCTGGAGGGCCAAGTCATTACCCCCATTTCCCCCAAGAGTAATGGCTCCGATAAGAGGGACCTGAGCAGCAGCTCTGGCTTAGGCTTGAATGGGAGCATGGCCACGAGTCAGACAGCAAACAGTGACAGCTTCAACACGTCCGACTCCACCATGCTCACCCCGCCCTCCAGCCCGCCACCACCTGTGCCTAGTAATCAGTCTCCAGCCATGCTCAGGCTGCAGAAACACCAGGTGTCCTGGTGCAACGGGACGGAAAAACATCCCCCCGAGAATGCCAAAGAGCCGGCCAAAATCAAGAGTCCCGTTCCGGCGCCGAGGACACAATTGAGCCCTGTGTCCGTGCCCAAACCTGCACCCAGGAAAGTCATCTCGCCTCAGGCTGAAACGGCTCCAGTGGTCGTCATGAGGGAGAAGAAGAAGAAGCCACGGCCGCAGGAGGTGAGGAAGTCGTTTGTGGAGACGGTGGAGGAGATTCCGTTTGCAGATGACGTGGAGGAGTCCTACGATGAGCGGACGCCAGAAACGAGCATGAACAGGTACTACACCCCCCCCACCAGCAAGCCAAACCGGGACAGACCTCCCCTGCATCTGGCTCTAGCGATGGAAAACGGTAAACCGAACATCCCTGGAAATGAAGCTTTTAAGTCACAGAGGGCAACTCAATTCTCCCCGGAGGCTAAGGAGATCGCAGAGGAGAGAATGAAGGCCAGAGAGAAGTCGGTGAAGAGCCAGGCACTAAAAGACGCCATGACCAAGCAGCTAAACAAGATGAAAGAATCTGACACAGACAAGGGGGCGGCACCTAAAGTGGCCTTGGGCGTAACCTCAGAGGGTAAAAGGTCAGCAGGATCTCCGAAGACATCAGCCGTGAAAGCTCTGGAGTCAAAGAAGGCCGAGATTTTACCGGAGCGTTTCTTCAGCAGCAACAAGAGTCTGGACAGCTCGGTGGCCTCGTCAGACGGCTCGAGCTCAGGCAAGAGCAAGAAGAGAAGTTCCCTCTTCTCACCACGCAAGAACAAGAAGGAGAAAAAGGCCAAGAACGACAGCAGCAGACTGCCCGGCACCGATGAGACACCGCCCAAACACAAGTCGCTGTGGAAGGCCGTGTTCTCGGGGTACAAGAAGGACAAAAAGAAGAAGGATGATAAATCGTGTCCCAGCACACCGTCCTCAAGCTCCACCACTCAGGACTCTGGGAAGAAGAAAGTCTCACCTACTGGGAAATCATCAGGTAAAAGAAGCTAACTGTGTTTGTGTGTCGTTGGTATTTATTGGTTTCATTGGATATTAATTTTACTGTTATGTATTAACTATATCCTATAAACCCATATTTATGTAAGCGGTTATTTAATTTCCTCACCCTCTCCCCCTTTTCTTTAATTGTTTTAATTTAATTGATTTATGTTTTTTAATTTTTTTAATTTTTATTGTATTTATTTTTATTTTCCTCTTATTTAATAATAAGATCTATATCTATATTTTCTTATTTATTTTCACTATGCTCTGATAACAAAAAGCCATCCAGTGCAGTTTTTAATGTTGTAGTTTTTTTGTAACACTTCCAGTGATGATGTCTGATGCTGCTTTCTGTTTGTTGCAGACTTGAAATCCCGCAGAAACCTGAGCTTCTCTGAGGACTCGGACCTTTCCTGTGATGATGTTCTGGAGCAGTCCTCGCAGAAATCAAAGGCAGATGTGAGTAACAATAGAAGAAATAATGTTGCTTCTTTGCCAGGAGGAATTTAGATTGTTATGGCCTTTAAAAGCCAGACTGAGCTGATTTTAGCTTGGACATTTAAGTCTGCTAAACATATGCTGACAATCAGGGGAGGCCAGCTGCTCAGAGCCGGACCAGGCAGCAGACTCCCGGGATTGTTTTGAATCACGTGACTCCACCTCATATCATATCATGCTTCATTTTCTTTTATTGATTTAAGTTGATTTTTGTGGAGAATTTAGGCCAAATCAAACATTGCTCCCTCCTTGTGTGGTGTTCATCCAGTAAGGTGTAAAGCACAACAACACATGCTTGTTTCGTTTTTCAAGACCTGAGGAAAGGAAACGACATTTGGGGACAGGCCTTTCGCAGGCTAGATGGGAAATTCATACATTTCCTGTTTTAAAAACCTTGAAATAATTTCTCCCACTCCCAGCAGCACATGGACATCTTTGACCTAGTATCAGGCATGCAAAAGGAAGCGATTAAGGAGGAGAAACTGGACAAGGAGAGAAGGAGGGAGTTAAAGGAAAGGAAGAGGTTGAAAGAGAGGCAGAAAGAAAAAGAGCGAGAAAAAAAGGTTGATCGGGAAAAGGAGAAAGACGACGAGGAGGTATTGCGCAGAGAGAGGGTTAAATGACTTTGAATTTCACCTGAACATGATTTTGTAACATAATACAAATAGAATTATAGTTCACAAAGCTTGGATCAAACTTTTAGACTGACCTCTAATTCATGTTATACTTATTTTATAGTGTTCGAATAAAAAGTGCTTACATTTTTGTCATCATGAAAAACACACGTTTCCAAGAGCTTCAGCACCACAATATGACATGCTTAATGCACACTTATAATGATATCCATTAGCTGATGTAATCAATCCTTTAGTACGATAGATTCATTAAGTATGCAGGTGGCATGTTAGGACGATGCAGCAACTCTGCACACAATGCCCACTTTTGTATCGTGGAGTTATTTTTATTAGAAGCCATTTGCATTTATTATGTCTGAAATTCAAAGTGATTGCCTCCACTGCTGCTCTGTCTGTGTTTGTGTTTTCTGTTGGTTTAGAGATAGATACAGTCGAGTTCAAGGCCAGAGGCATGAATTCATTACTCGTAGGAAACACATGTTTTAAAGTCAGCCACGATCAAATTTAGTTTTCTTCACTTTGACAACATATGAAGAATTGGCATTTTGGTTATTCTTCAATAATGTTGATTTGGAATGAATGCAGCTCCAGTCACAGGAGGTTAAAGCTGGATCATGCCTGCCGGGCTGTGCATAATTCAATAAAAGCTCATAGGAATAGGGAAGTGGACTAGTCGCTAGTGACTGTTGTGGTGTTTAGAGTTTCCCAGATCTGTGAGTGTAGTAGATACATTATTTTCCTGTAGAGATTATCATGGTAAATCCCCCTGGTCTTAGAATCTGTCAAATCTGTGTTCCTACAATGTGATTTGTTCTTGTTATTTCTGATTAACAACAGATGTATAAAAAGTCGCCGCACCTTGCCATTTTTGTGTTGGTGTGTGGTATTAACATTGCCTGTTTTTGATTTAACCAGCTCAATTACTTATTTTGTTTTATTTGTTAATTTAACATAATCATTAACCCATTCAATCATATCATCTGTATCATGTGTGTTTCCTCCCTTTTTTTGTTTTGTCTTCCCAAAGTCTTTATATGTCCCTCACGCACTGGCGTTCAAGAGATCGTACGCCACAAAGGTAGTATTACATATGTTCCCATTGATAACTACACCCACCCCCTCAGCGCATGCGCCAGTTTCCTGTCATAACACCTCATGTGCACCCGGCCTAAAACTAACCGTCCTCTCTGGATGCATGAGACAGTCGGAGCGCAGCGCCCACTCACTCACTGCTGGATATCTACTCTGTTCAAACATGACTTTCCCGATGGCGCTCACTTTTCTGGTCACAATGATACCTCTTGATATCAGGGGCTGTTCCTCTCTGACTGGTATGACATTAACCTGCCTATCTGTCACTGTGGCCTCTGTTTTACTCCGGTCTGAATACTGGATTAACTCTTGACGTTTTCCTTCAGTGCTGTTCTCTCTTTCTCCTGATTCCTGCCAGCTTTTTATGTCCTTACAAGTCAGACACTAGGGGAAATGCCCCTTACTCTACTGTATTGCCTATTGTTATGGAAAATTCTATATTAGATTGTACATTTGAGAGCTGAAGTGAAGATGATGTATAAATAGGGGTTTTTAAGGGCCAATATAAGAGAGAAAAAACTACGCAGCCAATGTAATGAACTCAAAAAACTCAAACCTTCTTCCAATATATATATATATATATATATATATATTCCCTGAGCTTAAATTGGTACATTTTCAAGGAAAATAACATACACATTTTCTTAAAATTCTTATCATGATACGTTAAAAATCGTTAAAAATATGTCCAGGTTATTTTCTTTACGTTTCTCAAACATTTTATTTAAAAAAATATATTATCCACCTCTCATGGCTCAACATTTTATTTATTTATTTGTTTGCCTAGAATACACTGTTATATAGATTATATCTGCCATATTGTGTTCCAACTGATATTATGTAACCATGCTTTAAAATTGCAACCCATAGACTTTAGAAATGTCTTAATAAGGTGTGTACTGTGTAGATACTGTGCAGTGAAGGTAAATATCCCAAGATAGATTACATTGTGTCAGTCAAAGTTGTCCCTCACCTTCTGCAAGATCTAAACTGAACTTCCCCCCTCCTCTTCCGTTCAGTTTTGCTGAAGGGCCAGGGCCCCATGGAGTCAACTCCACACATTAGCAGCATGTGAGTGAGACTTATCTGACCCCTGTCTTTGTTGTTACACCAGAAAACCTACACAGAGGAAGAGCTGAATGCCAAGCTGACCCGAAAGGTCCAGAAAGCTGCACGACGGCAAGCCAAGCAGGAAGAACTGAAGAGGCTGCACAGAGCTCAGGTAACTGACCTTTGCTCCATCCCCACTGTAAGATGGACCTCTGTCATTCCTGCCCTCCTCAGGACGACAGGTTTGGTGACCTCCCTGACTTTTCATCGAGAATCATTATAACTACATTTCAGTTTGTCCAGTACTATTGTTTTTATGATAAAATGCTTGTCATATCCATTAGCATCTACTTATTGTACTATTGTAGCTAGCAGATTAGTTCACTATACTAAGATGGTAAACATTCTACCTCCATGTCAGCATTATTAATTTAGGTTGTTAGCATGCTAATTTAGCCTATAGCTTAAAGCTTATATTGTACTGCTAGATGGCTGTGGGTTCTCAGCGTCACACCTTTTTCTGTCATTTTGAAAGTAGGTAATTATTTTGTGATGGTGTACTTATGACGTTTGTATGCTGAATAGCTCTTTCAAACCGTAAGATCAAACCATTTTTCATGTAATGCATGTCAAACAATTTAAAAATAAAGCTTGCTATGTGTATGTCTGTAGGGTTAGTGACAGATCTGATACGGCTACATGAGTAGTGCTGTCACTATAACTCAGTGTTGTTCTTTATAAACCATATGGTCACTCTGATGTGACTCTGAATCCAAATCTGTCCTTCCCACTGATTGATGTTGTAACTCTGCAGTCAGACTTCCAGTCCACTGACTCAGCAATAAGCCACAGCTAAAGTCTCTACTCCCGGAGCTGTGGTTAGGTGGCCTACATTTGTCTTTCTTTTAGTGGCTGTTTGTAGAACCTAAACCACACTTCCTTTTTAGATTTCTCTTGCTGAATGCTAGTGACAAAGTTCAGCACTGACAGAAAGTTAGAGTCTGAGGGAGAAATCCTTTTTGCTGTTTCTGCTCTTTTTATACATTCTCGCGTTGGAGTTGTGGGAGAAAGTGGCATGAACTTTGGTATTTAGTCTTTGCAGACCATTTACTAGCACACAAAACACACTATAGGACAGGGAAAACCCCCAAAAGTATAACAGGCCCCCTTTAAAGACATGCAGAACCCACAACTATTTGAAAAACGAATTGGTTTTACATGGACCACTCAAATGCTCTATTGACCACTCAGTAGTTCTTGCAGTTTATAGATAATAGTACCTGCTGCCATAATGAATGAGAATGACTGCAATAACTAAGCCTAACTAAAGTATCTTTCATAAGGTGAAACATAATTTATGTGTCCAATGCGTAGTTCGGATCGGCTACAGATTCGAATTTCTATGCTACTCCCTTTCATCAAGTGTAACAAAAATTGGGCAGTATTTTTCCCGTAATCCTGCTTACCGAGAGAAAAGCAGAGCTGAAAACGTAACCTCCTTGGCAGAGCTGAATTAAGATATTCATTGACAGGTTCTATCCCCATTTGCCGCTGATCCAGGGATTAAGATTGGGTACTCCGCACCAAGAAGTGATTTTAATTCAAATGCTGGTGTTAAAAGGCCGGAAACTTTGGCTTCCCCAAGCTGCTTCCCCTCTATCAGTCCTGCTAATAGGAAGTGAGAAAGTGGTGTGTGGGCCAAAGAGGGAGAACTATAACATATTAATAGTTTTTGGTGAAATTCATTACACAATATTCACCTTTTTGGAACAAGCTTCCAAACTTGTAGACATCAATAGAGTTCTCATTAGCAGTACTCACGCTGTGCCTTGAGAAATTAGTTTTTTAACGAGGGTAAACTATTGCATTAGGGGTAAACGTGAGGCACAAATCAGCTGTAATTAGTGATAGATGTTGTTATTTTGTGCACCGTGTGAGATAACTCAAGTTGTCAGTAATGCGCTGTGCTGACTCCCTTACTCTCTTTGCCATTTAGATCATCCAGAGACAGTTGGAGCAGGTGGAGGAGAAGCAGAGGCAGCTGGAGGAGAGGGGGGTAGCTGTGGAGAAAGCTTTGAGAGGAGAAGCAGGTAACGATTTGTCTCTCATATCTTCAAACTTTTTTTTTATGGCAATCCCACCTAGACTTGCTGCCAACATTCAGGGTGTAGCACCATAAAACATTGAACCCTGTTAATATTAAACATTTAAATATTGATGTACTGCATGTATGACGATTTAATCTTATTTATGTGGCAGCGCTGGCTCTGCAAGGCCATGTTTTATATTGATATGAGTTCAGTAGGTTCTACAGCTCTGAAGGGAAAAATAATAATATCCATGATTAGGACCGAGAAACGGCCTTACAACAGAAAAGCTGTCCCTCTGCAATCATTTAGACTGTTGAAATCACACTCAGCATTTACAAGTCAGTCAGTCGTACTGAAGCATAGTCCTGCTAGATTTGTGCCAGAAAGAATTATTTGTTTCTCCAAAGTAATAATCCAAAAATTGTTGTTGGCAAGAGACTATCCCAGAGAATATATTTCTAAGATGCATTATGTGTTTGCGGGCAACACAGTTTGCTATTTGCTACGCCTTTATAAGAATCTGAAGCATGAGTAGTGCTCAGCAGCAATAACACATTATTTATGTGATGTGAGTTTTGTATGCGAGAAAGGCACAGAAGTTGTTCTTTATAGAGCTGACAGAGTACCCAACACTAATTTACTTAATGATATAATGGTGACAGAAGCTCCTTTCATGCAAATGCATGCATTAAACATCTCTTTTAAATTCGGCCACCAAGCTATAATCCATTTACTTTTCCCATCAGCTGTGTCTCCAGCCAAATGTCTGAGTATGTTTTAACTTGTTTACTACTCTACTCTCTTAAAGGATTGTATAAAGGTACTTATACATTACCCAAACAGCACAAAAGAAGATCAGGTATTAGATTTACTCTAGTTTATTTTAATTCTTTTGACATGTGACACTGTTATGTAGGCTCCATCATCTGTGGTGACACACTGCAACATTTCTCCATCTCTGAACATGTCGATCGTTGTCCGTTCATAAACATGTCTGCCATCACCAGCCCGAGCTGCATGCGATCAGGAGAATGTGTGTCCCGACATAGATTTGTGTGTTTGCTCATTCTGGATGTGTTTGTGTCTCCGTCACTTGCCTCTCAATGAGGAGAGTCTCTGTACTCTGATCAAGACTGAGGTCACGCAATCAGAATGAAATAAATCACATTTAAATTGGTTTGCAGGACGTCTTCATTAAAATATGTTCTGCGTACGTGGCTGAGTAACTTGATACAGATGTTTGTTAAGATCTATTATATATGTTTTAGAGTTATGAGTAACAGCAATCCAGAGTTGTTTGTGACTGTCTGCTGTACTCAAAGATCTCAATTAATTATCAGCTGTGCTTTCTGTCCAAAATGATTAAGTAATAAATCTGGTCCACACGGGTTGGAACATAACTTGTCAAATTAAAGCTTTATTTGCTGTTTGAAAAAAATGTGTCCAATGAAACATGCACAGCGAGAACAAGGCCACACGATACATTACGAGAGGCTTTGTGTGATATTCAGCAGACTGAGCCACCAAACAGCAAATCTATGTTGCATCCTCTTATTATTTTGGGAAATGCCATTGTAGTATTGCCCAACCTGACTGCACTGTGTTGAGTACGGATGGACTCTCTTTGTTCTGAGTGTGGCTGCAGTGTGTATGTGTGTGCTTGCAAGAAAAAGCATGTCTTTGGAGAATTGTTTGTGTGCCCAGTTTGGGGCCTTTTTAAAATAACTGCTATCTCTAATATATCCCTGTCATTGTAGACTATTGGGGAGATTCTAATTACAGTGAAATCCTGGACTTGCATCTGGGCGGTATGTATTTCAAATCTGTCGCTTTAAACTAACCTAATGGCTAACCCTATCTGTCCCCCCCCCTGTTTTACTACCTGAGCTTTGTACACCTTATATCTCCCTTGATTGGCTGCCTTCCCGACTGATTGGCTGGTGTGCTTTCCACCTTATCGCAATACTTTCTGCTCCTATAAACCTCCCTCCCCACTCTGTCCCCCCTCCTCCCCCCTCACTGGGTCTCTAGTTCAGACACTCTTGACATCAAACAGAGATCACACACTTGGCCTCATGCAGTCCTCTTAAGATCATCTTTGATCTCCGTAAACTCATGAATGATTGAGTAAAGGAATATGTCACTTTTATTTGTCACTCCTCGGCACGCAGACCTTACAATACAAAACTGCAGTAGAGAGAAACACTGACATATTGCAGAGGGAGACATTTAAATAGCAATGTATATATGCATTTATCAAACCTGAGGTCCACTCCAGCAGAGACAATTAAATACAAATAAATATATGCAGTGGATTTTATTCTGCATGCAGAACATGCCCTTTAAATATTGCCTTCCTTTGCATATTCATTAAACATAATTTGTTAACCAAAACTATTATATTAAAAGTAGCATCATGCTTGGATTCTAAGTTACAAGCTGCTGATAATAAATCCCAGAGCAAATCACATAAAAAGACCATCAATATTAATAGGAAATGTTTAGTGGATTAAGAAAAAACTTATTTAGAGAAATTATAGTAACTCATGAGAAAAGCATATCCGTTACCCAGAACCCTGAATTGTATCTAACTGGGAGTACATTTGTATTGTAACATCCCAAATATTGATCCTAATAGCAAGTACAGTCTAAGCCCATTAAAGCCTTTTATTCCTCAGGGCTATAGAGCTCCATCATTGTCCAAAAGTTATTAAAAACCAAGTCAAGAGCCACACTGTTGCACAAGGTGAACACTAATCTAATAATGATGATTAGATTATATTCAACTTTTTTGTCATTGCACAGAATACAAGTAACAAGACAATAAAATGCAGTTAGCATCCAACCAGATGTGTGAACCAAGTGCAGAGTGATGTCTAGTTTTAATATAAATATTAACATCTGACGGATATAAAACAATTTGAAGTATTAACCTTATGAACTGTATATAGTGGTATAAACATAAGTATAGCAATTGAATACACTGTAGAGCAGGTATACATATAGACAGTAATTTATTTGAAACCAATCACACATACTCAGAAAATAGTCCCCTAGAAATGCTGTCTTGACTTCTATTTTTGTCCCTATTCCTAAAAGCCACAGTGCACAACCGAAGTTAAAGAAAAATCACATGACCCCCCCCCTACACACACACACCCTATCTTCTAACCTTCCCTCGACTCTCATCATAAACTGCTTGCATGGCTCTTAGCTCTCCCCCCCCCCCCCCTTGCTGCTGAACTCTCTGACCTTCTCATACCCGCTCAGTTGCATAACTTCCCGAGTGTGTGCTGTAACCCGTAGATGCTACAGTCAGTCTGAACCGTGATTGGCTAACAGTAACAGTGTCCACCGTGTCTGGACAAGACTACTCGTGGTATCTGTTATCTTGTAGATTGTGGCCTTGTTTGAATATGACTCAAATGCATCTTCTTTTTTTCTTTGCATTTCCCACATATTTGAGCAAGGCCTGTGTGCTTCTCTGTCGGTTTTGTCCTCTTGGTTGTTGTCACTCATCAGACAGGAGATCGCGTGGAGTTTGGACGCAAAGATGAATATGTGTTAAAGACGTTGCGATTCTTACTGGGGGGGGGCGTGGCAATTCATCCGCTGAAATCTAAGTTGTTGGTTATGCATTCAGAGTGATTACTAAAACCAATTGCTTTGTGTCTCACCTTGAGTCTTAACTACTGGAACGGTGTGATTGCGGTGTTTTGAATGTGCTACTGAGAATGACACGTCTTTGTTTTACTTACCATGTTTGGTGTCGCATGATGGGGAATTGTAGCATTGACTGAATACAAGTCTCTGCAGGGGATTTACTGAGCGTTAAGTTCCAACCATTTATTCCAAAACTATATTTGCGTTATTTAGGCAGTTTAGCCGTTTAATTTTGATTCTGGGAGCAATAAACATTTTTATGAGGCATCCAACGTGTCCAAACTAGATTTTCTAAACTGCAGTTCTCCCGACACATTTGTATTTCTTCTCTGTGATAGTCCCTTGTAGCAATTATCTGGCATTTCACTCCCAGCTGTGTCATGTAATGGTTCAATCCCTTATATGTGTGTCACTATCAGTCACCCTCCCTCTCTGCACATTTTCCCTGAAACTTTTTCACTTCCACTTATTTTACAATTCTTGTTTTGGGGGTTAATAAGGTCACATCCTCTGTGATGTTACTTTTGGGAGAAAATCTGTCAAGTGGGAGCATATTAGAAAAAGTCCTCATTTGCACTTCAATAGTAGCTTCACTTCAAAAGTCACAAACTGAGATGGGTGGTCTTAACATGTTCAAGTAATTTTTCAAGGAGACGCTAAACATAGAACAAGTAGAAGCAATTATCAGAGTCTGTGAAGGAGATTGGCCGCCTGGTGATCAGTAATGGCTTTAATAATGGGATTAAATTATTTTGTGTACTGTGACGAAAACTGGCCATATGCGTAAGCCTTTCCCATTTCCTAACAGGAAAAGATTATCTGAAGACCTACAGATGAAAGATCAAAAAGGGGGATTATTTTCCCTCTGTGCTCCAAGTTTTCTGTTTTCCTATTTTACCCCTCTTTTCATCCCTCACTCCACACAGCTGATTCCTCCCACCTCCTCTCTGTAGGTGTTTTGTCCTCTCACTATCACAGTGCTCCTGCCCTCTTTTGATTTTCTCCTCCATTTTCTTTCCTCCCTCCACCCACTCTGTCTTCTACTCTCTTGCCACATTATTTCCACCACTCTTTCTCTCCCACCCTCCCTGGCTCCCGCCTATGTCCCTCCCTCATGCTCTTTCCCCCTTTGTCTTGTGGAAGTTGAGCCCTATGTGGGGATGCCACGCCGAAGACCCCTCTCCTTGTGCCCCTGCTGGTCCCCTGAAGGTAACGTAACCTCGCCGCCTCCACTGACGGTTGTGGCGGGTTACCGTGGAAACTGTAGGGATCTCCAGACCCGGGCTAAACCCTCAGGCACTTCCCCATCATCCTCCCAACCGGTCCTCCTCCTCCCCTTCCTCACTGTTTGTGTGTGATCAGGCTCAGTAGATTTCCCCAGAATGTCTCTAAAACTAAGTATTGCAGCATTTATAACAAGTAAATTGATTTTAAATGTTAAAAAAAAGCTCCAAATATACATTTTATCACAAAGTTGTGCTGTTAAATAGTATGGGTTCATCGCTATCATGACAGTTATTTTATGTAGATTTCATCTTCCAAGAAATCAAGGTTCACTCTATCTTTCCAACAATGGATAGTCAGTAGGTCATGATGCAGTACACAAATAAATAGCAGGACTGAATCATGTTTTTAAGGGTTTAGGTCACCTGCAACCCAACAAAAAGTGGTTGTAAGTTACCAATACATTACTTCTGTTGGTAGTAAGCTAATTCATTATTAGTCTCCATAGCTCAAGGATAAAAGCTGTACATATAATTGAAAATGTTAATGTCTGATGTAACATTGTCCAAAGGTTCAGGGAACCCTAACCCTATGACAATCCCTCTAGTGTGAGCAATATAAATCATAATAATGGATTGTAAATTAGGTAATAAATCATTTAATATAACCACACAACCATCGTGCCTCATAAAATGAGTGTGCAGAAAAGATTTTCCTTATCATGCCTACAAGGCTACATTCACTCCAAGGGGAAACTACTCTGCTGCAGTGTGTCTCTAAACAACAGCATGTGTCCGGTTTTCTGTTTGGCTCAAATGAAGCATAAAGCTCCCTCGTCCTTTTTTGCAGTATCTTTTTTTGTACTTTTTATCCCTTGAACAAAAGTTAAAAGTGTCATGTAATCAAAACTTGGGTGGCGAACACCTGAGACGTAGTCAGCTCGCGGGCAAGTTTGCGATTCAAGGAGGAAGAAAACTGCATGGTGTGATGATTTGTTATGAATATTCAGGTCTTACACAAAACAAGTCCTTAAAAATGAATGTAGGCCTATCATCTGCTTTGTTCCCGATCGTAACACCTTTCAGTGGAAATGTTGCCTGAGCGTCTAAAGAAACCTCGTTTTGTGTTTTTTGTGCGACCTGATGTTTTGTTCCATTGTTGCTGTCGCTGCCTTGTACCGCTCTACTCTCCTTTGTGTTCTGGGCCTTGGGCTGAAGGGTGGCGACAGTGGAACAAGTCGAAATAGTTTAAGATACAAAGAACATTTCTAGGATCGATTTTGGAAACCAATCGTTGCTTTTTGTGTCGCCACATGTTGTATTCCTCTCGTGTGAGCAGCTCTCCTCCAGCTTTTCCTCTCTCTCTGTCCCTTGTCTGTTAATTAGCCAGATCCAGTCCCCAAGACAACCACCACACGATCTGTGTGTGTACACTGTTTTTCCTTTTTGTTTTGCAAGAGCCTCCTCTTCCCCAGCTAAGTATGTCACGCTGCATCTAGCGTTTGCCTTCTGGTGTTTCATTGATACCGCTTGGCTCCACATGTCAGATAAATGAAAAGGCATCGCCCCCGGCAACAGACTTTTCTAAGCATGCCACATCCCAACAGTCGGACTGCAGTGTGCGGTCTCTGACTGATCGCGGCAATTACAGAAAACTGCAATGCACGGTGCCAATAGTGCTGAATATGCTTTTCCCTGGACCAGACTTAATAGAGTAGTCTTAACTTCCCTACTGGTCTCAATGATAAGTCATCCCATGAACATTTAACCTTATAATTGAATATGTAGAGACAGCGGAATAATTCATGGTTTTTTTTTTTTTATTCCACCCTCAAACCGCTCAGCGTGAATGGGATGTTAAAGGATCTCTGATGATGGGTCAATATGCGGGCAAGGGGAGGGTGAAGAATTTTCCTCAGGGTTAATTCTCCCTATTTCTAATGATTGGTGTGTTTCTTCTTTTACCAACCAAAAGGTTATACAAGGAGGTAGTTGCTCCCCAATAGCAGCTACGTCCAAAAACACAAACGCTCAACTATGTATACAGGCATCGTCTCTTTGTGTGTGCGTGTGGGTTGTGTGTGTGTATGTGTGTGTGTGTGTTTTAACCAAAGTTGAAACCTGTAGCTCCACGCCATCTTCTGTGCACCATCATTAAGTATGGCACAGCCGAGTCCATCCCATCACCTCCCCATCGCCCAGCGAGGTCATCCTGGCTTGGCTGTCACCACATTGCCTGTGTCAGTCCTCGTCTGTGTGACATCATCTTCATCCCTGCCATCTGGCGTCTCACTCCCTCTCTGTTCTTCCTCCTTCCTCTCCAGGCATGGGCAAGAAGGACGACCCCAAGCTAATGCAGGAGTGGTTCAAGCTGGTGCAGGAGAAAAACGCCCTGGTCCGCTATGAGTCAGAACTTATGATATTGTAAGTACTTTACGTGACTGTTGAGACGGATAAGCTAACTGATGAAGTGATTTGTCAGAAGGGCTTTTATATTCAAGGCTGTGGGTCATTGGTTGCTATGCCAACTCTTGTAGGAAGGAGGCATCCAGTTGGAAATGTGGTGTTTTATGAGAATATAAAAATGACATACACACGTTTGCATTGGTTCTTATACAACCCAAATACACATATACAAACAACTGTAAAAGTTATTAGTTTTGAAATAGTGACAAACAAAAGCAAGTTTAAACTCAATAAACAATTATAGGCCGAATCCTTAGTGGCTAATGCTAAAAATGTATATAAAAAGGGTAGGTTAAATAGGCTAAGATCTTTTACATGATGTAAAATGTTGTAAAATCCTCACTGAATGCATGTATATATTCCCAACGGACAATATAATAATGATATTATGTTTTGACTAAAGGGCAGCTTTACATAAGCAAGACCAGACAACTCTAGTCACTCTATGACTTAAGATTAATCAGAATCAGAGTAGCGTTATTCATCCCTCAGGAACGGGGACATTTACTAAAGAAAAGGGGCCCCATTATACTTTTTGGGGTTTCCCTTTCCTGTAGTGTGTTTATATAGGTTTTTTGCGCATGTAATTGGTCTCCAAAGGCTAAAATCAACAAAGTTCATGCCCCCCGTTGAGATGTTCCATTCTGAACCAAACAAAGAATGATATTGTCGTCCCTAAATATGTAATGCAACCTGTAAAAAAATCGGTTTTAATAGTATTCCATCACTTTAAAGCAAGGCAAAAAAAACTGAACCGAGTACACAAAAGATGAAAAACGGACTTATTACCTCCGTACATCATGAGTTTAAAAAGATTGTCAGCCAGTACGAACTCATCATCATCATCTTTCAACATAATGATATGATATGTGATCACATTTGCAATCCATTAAGAGAAACAACTTTACTACACTCTGACAAGTCATTAAGTTATCCAGCGTTATCTTATGATAGCTACTAAAAGCTTTTAGATTAACTGTTCATCTTCTTTAGAACAGCTATTTATTAAATATACTTGGATAACTGAAGATGCAGCCAAACACCATAAATGATGAAAGCAATGATTAATCCGTGAAACTTAACTCGTCCATCTTTTTTTCCTTTCTGTACCCAAAGCGCCAGAGAGCTGGAGCTGGAGGACCGACAGAGCCGACTGCAGCAGGAGCTCAGGGAGCGCATGGCTGTGGAAGGTAACCGAAAGAAAATGAAAAAACAGCCCTGTCACTCAAATACAGATCAAATGCACTATAAAGGGTCTTTGAGCATGTTTCTCTGTGAGTGTGCTGTTTTGTTAAATGTTTTTTGTTCATGTATTGTTTCTTGATGTCTGTCCATGTTGATGTTACATGGAACTGCTGTGATGCAAGTCAAATTTCAGACTTGCTCTGACAATTAAAGTATTATCCTTATTATCGTATCATAAATGTTTAGCGAAGGCTTAATGTGCAGCAAACATGATTGTTATTGTGTTTTATATTTAAGATAAATCACGTTGTGGTTCATTCTTGCAATAATGACCAGCTCGCTACAGATTGTCCCTCAAATCAATAACTTACATAAAATATTGATTTAAAGTATATTTTCTTAATTTTCTTTGGTCTGTTCCGCTGCATAGCAGTAGCTGTAATTGCAATGATAGCAAAGTAACTTAAAATGACGGCAGCAATGATTAAGGTTTTCTTCATTGTAACTGTTCAAGTCTGTTCACATTTTCTATAAACACAACCATTTGTGTTTACTTCCTGTCACTCATCTACTGTTCATGTCTCTGTCGTCCACCTCTCCTGACCTTTGTTGTGTTGGATTCTTGTTGTTTTCTATTCCCCCCCCTTGTGATGTTCAGCTCTCATGAATCATGAAGTGTTGTGCTCTCCACAAACTGTATATACAAATAGAAACAAAAACAAATATTCCATAGTGTTTTCTGATACAGGAATAAACGCAAAAAATGTACCATATTTCTTTCTTCTTGGATGACTGAAAGCAGACTAATGATCAGCGCTTCCATAGCAGCTGCCTGCTATACAGAAATAACTTGCCGAAGCAGGACGCAACTGACCAATCAGAATAGAGTATTTAACTAAGCTGTTTTTCAAATCTGCATAATATTCTCCCACTCTTTAACTCTTTTCCTCTGACTCTCTCGCAGACCACCTGAAGACGGAGAAGGAGCTGAATCAAGAGAAGCAGATCCTAAATGAGATGCTGGAGGTGGTGGAGCAGCGTGACGCCCTGGTGGCGCTCCTCGATGAGCAGAGGCTGCGGGAGAAGGAGGAGGACAAGGACCTGGAGTCTGTTATGCTCTCCAAAGGCTTCAATCTCAACTGGGCTTAAGAGGAGAGAAATAATTGCTCATCAAGTCCCGGGTAAATGTCTGAGGCGGTCTCTGCCTCTCATGGTCATCTCTGATCAGGATACTCTGCTGAACACCTGCAGCAGTGAATGTGTAAAGACTCCCCCGACACACGCTAAAACACTTCGGCTGCCTCTGACATTGAAGCGGTCCGCGACGTTTACATATCCTATGCCCAAAGGCAGTCCCAAGTTAATCACTTTGCAGTTTTGCTTGCTCTCTCTCTCTCTGAGGGGAGTACATTCACAGCTTTATCATCCCAGCCTTCAAGTGGATCCTCTCAACAAAAAAAAGGAGGCCTTTGGGAGAATGTTTGAAAGACTTGTTTCATTCTCGATTATCTAAAGGGAAGAATGCAGTTTGGTCCTGCTGATGTAGAGGAATTGTTTTGTGTATAGTTGTGTAGAACAAGTCACATATTCGGCAGATAGGGGTGTTTTCTTTTTTTCTGAAAAAGGACTGCTACAGATGAGTGTTTACAGTAAGTGCTGGAGGGAAGTCACCGGGGTCAATCTTCTTTTCAGTCTGACTGTAGGACGGACATCCTCTGCTGAAGCTGCCTTTCTATCCAGTGACAAACTGACTCCTTGTGAACCATAAAGACACCCCCCCCCCCCCCCCCCCTCACAGTGTTCTCATGAATCAACACTAACAATCCATTAAATATGGCCATGGGTTTTATGTATTTATTATCTTTGTTTGCTTTTAACACATAAACCTTTTTGTTTTTGCATTCACAGGAGAGTGCCCAGAATCTCATTATCGAGTATTCGTGCATGGCTTAGACGCTCCCATAAGCCATTGCATGTCAGGAATGAAGGCTGCAGGCACATAGAAGAACTATTTGTTAAGCTAGAAAAACAGAATTATATATAAACACTTAAGCATTTCACAAGAGTCAACAATGATGGGCCTCTCCTTGACATGCCACTGACTGCATATCACGCTCACGGTTTACAAATATGTTTTCTCGCTTTGGTAAACAACAGTGAGGTAAAACAACTGTTGAAATAATCCATCTTTGAAGGATCTGTCTCTTCAATTTCAGATGTGTTTCCGACCTTGTGTGTTATCATAAATTAAGCCGGTTTCACAGTTCTTAATGGGAGATCCGCGTAGCTTACAATACTCATTTTGTGCCACAGGACTGTCTCTGTTGGTGGATATGCTGCAATATCTGAAGAGTACACCACGAGGACTTACACACCACTCACATCACTAAACAGCAGTGTTACTTTACTCTTGAACAAGATGCCTTTTATTCTCCTCACTTAAGTTATATTTTATTTTTCTGAGTCAATGTTTTTGAGGTAGTCACATATGTGTATCCCACTGGAACTCAATACTTTTTATTTCTCATAATTTTCATACAGCAGGTCCCCAAACATACTAACTGATTTTAAACAGGGGGGGATGAAGAAGTGCAAGGTGCTTTATGAGCAACTTGCATTAAACAGAACCGTTATATCTAGTGGGCAGTCAAATCTAATAGCCTTCTTGACAACTGTAAACAATCCAGATGGTCACAGAAACGCTAGAGGCTATATTTATGACTTGGTATGAGCTGTGAATAAAAAACAAAGTGAGATCATTTTAAGGGTTGTTGTTTTAGATGGTGTGTGATAAGTTTGACATGATTGTATTGATATTTATTAACAAGTGTGCAAACTGTATTATATGTAAAGAAAAAATGAATCCTAATTTTTAAACTGTTCTGTTGACACATGACTTGTAATGTAAATGCTTCATGTAGCTAAAATGCATAGAGGTGTTGGATGTATGCTGAAACGGCAATAAAACAATGCAGTTGTTCTTTTAAATGTCTGTGCATTAAGTCTCACTTTACAAACCAAAGACATGATCATTGATTTTAGAAGACATCCCCACATACATGAAGTCTTATCCATCAAGAATCAGAAAGTGGAAGTTATGCAATCGTACAAATATTTCGGACAATTATTGACTCCAATTTGAACTTTTAAGCACATTTTAAAGCCATGTGCAAAAAGGGGCACAAGACAGTGCTTGTTATTTTGTCTTAGGAAACTGCCCCTATTTTAAAATGTACAATCCATGATGGATATGTTTTATCGAGTCAAATATGTATTTTTCCTTAATGTGTTTTAACCTGTCTTTAAAGAGCAGAAACTCTATCACTCAGTTCATAAAGTGGTCATAGCAGACTAACTGGTGCGCCACAGCTAAACCTGGAGACCCTGTTCCTCAGATAGTTACAGCGGTTATATAGCCCTACATTGAATGATGACTCCCACCCTCTTCACACAGAATTTAAGCTTAGTCCTTCGGGACGGAGGTTATTTGCCCCAAACAGCTTTGTTCCAGCAGCCATCGCACAAGTAACAAGTTGTAGCAGTGTTAGGCAGATGCTATGGATGCAATGCCAATATGTTTATATTAACTTTCAGGATTGCTCATGTTTGACCTAGTGTTTTTTAGATGTGATGGAGCACAGGGTACTTTTTTTGAGAGTTGTCTGTGTTGTTTAAGAATATGTGTGATAATGGATCCCTTGTCCTTTATCTGCAAACCAGATCTACCTACGGGTACAAAGTAAACAAGTAACCTGAAGAACCTGAACTTTGGTGCGAGGTAAGATGGAGAGGTGGCGGGGAGAAAAGTGACAAGGAAGCCAACAGGTGGAAAAGTGGGGCGAGGAAGCATAGTGGCACAGAGAAAGTGGACATTGTTTTGAGATTGAGTTTCTGTGTCCATAACCCAAAACAGCCTTAACATGTCAATCATTGTCATGATTTTCTATGACTTATTATGGTTTTCATTTAATATATTCCATCTTCTTTAAAGAGATACGAAGTTATGTCTCTTGATCTGTATTTGTTTCTAAAAGCCCTTGAAAATGTCAGAGGTACGGTGGCCCTGAAGTGCAAAACACCACAGCATTTCAGAAAACACTACAGCATTTCAGAAAACACCACAGCATTTCACAAAACACTACAGCATTTCAGAAAACGCCGCAGTATTTCAGAAAACGCCACAGCATTTCACAAAATGCCACAGCATTTCAGAAAACACAACAGCATTTCAGAAAACACCACAGCATTTCAGAAAACACCACAGCATTTCACATTGGACGGAAAGGGATTTACATGGAGATACGCCCCGCCCCCTCTCCAGCGCCTCTTCTTTGAATGACAGGAGCAAAAACAGCTGACAGCCGCGGTGAAACTCGAGCGATTAGAGCGATGCGAATATTGGGTGGTCTACCATAGTATTTACATGGAGATAAGCCCCTTAAAAACCATGAATTAATAAAGCATTAATTCTGTGTTTACTCCTGTCATTCAAACAAGACGCTGGAGAGGGGGCGGGCCGTATCTCCATGTAAATCCTATCGGAATCGGATCGATCAGGCTAAACTAACCTGTAGCTGCTCCGTCCACACTCACAACAACGTCATACAGACATAAATAAAGCAGCGACTGTATTCGCCATGACAGACAGTCTGTGTTTTGTATATGTTTAACTTTTGTCCAGTTTCTGAACAGATATGAGGAGCTGAGAGCTCTGAGTGTGTGCTAACAGCTAACGGCTGATGTGTTGGGCCAATCACGCAGCGTCATTTCTTGACTGGCAGCAAAAACAACCAATCACAGCAGTGCTTCTATGGCTAGCTCTGTCCAATCTAGTGTTGTCACGATACCAACATTTTGGTTTCGATACCGATACCAAGTCAAGAATTGCGATTCCGATTCTTTTTCGATACTTTTCAAAAAAAAAGGGAAACAGTCTTAAATGTAATTATTGTGCTTTATTTCACACCAGAACCATAACGCAAACTTTTAAACAATGAGAACAATAAACAAAATAAATGACAATAATTCGTATTAAATAAAATTAAGCATCATCTCAAACAACTTTTTTGTTTTATAAAATATAATTGTTTTAATATTTTATTAACATGTAATAATACAGTAATATAAATAATTATTGACTAAATGTATATTGCAGATGTTAGCCACATTGGTAAGTTAGCTAAAAATATAGCCATATTAGACAGTTATCATTGCCATTAATTGCCTCGTCAAACTACGAAAACGTTCGTTTGTCACAAAATAAATTACACTTGTTTGACTTAGATTTGAGGGCATGGGATTGAGCATGATGTAATTATGTTATCTATCACATTCGCTAACCTGTGTCTCTCTTTAAATTCTTTAAACAGCTCTGGATTCCGGTCGGCGGGTGCTTAGCCAAGTCTGATGTGTTGGCTCCCTTGGTTTGCAGGGATCTAAAACATTTCTCACAGACAGGCCTCGTGGTGTCCGTAGGCTTGCCCTCACTGTCAAAGATATAGCTCAAATACTTCCAAATTTCGCTTCTGGCGTCTTTCTTGTCAACAAGCCGAGGCGCAGCGGCAGCTGCACTCCCACTTGCAGCCATGCTTCTCGTTTTCTCACATGCTCTGGCAGCTAGCGCGTGGCCGCGTGAACGAGAGAGGGGAGGGACTTAGAACGTGCTTGAGAGGGGCGGGACTGCAGGCACGGCTGCAGTGCAGGGAGTGGAAGCAGAGCGCTGAACACACACGGCTCTTATTAAAACGGCGCTTTCTCACCGGAGTACTTTTCCCCGTCATTCTTAAAGTACCGATACTAATGAAACGGAGGAATCGTACCGTTTTTAACGGCAGGGTATCGCGGTACCTTTCAAGTATCGGTACACCATGCAACACTAGTCCAATCACAAACAATAAGTGTTCTCCCTAAGGAATACCCTTTCCGTCCAATGTGAAATCCTGTTGCGTTTTCTGAAATGCTGTGGCGTTTTGTGAAATGCTGTGGCGTTTTGTGAAATGCTGTGGCGTTTTGTGAAATGCTGCGGCGTTTTGTGAAATGCTGTGGCGTTTTGTGAAATGCTGTTGTGTCTTGCACTTCAGGGCCACCGTACAGATGTCTTTTAAATTTCCTGCAATTAAATAAGGAGCAAACAGAAACAATTATGTGTTGCATGCACCACTGGGCGCTGTCTCCTGACCCCCTACAAAAACCCCATCATAAGTGGCTGACTGAAGGCTGACCTGCCGCCAAATCCCTCATGGCAGGACTAAATGGCTGTTGCATACACTTTGCATACACTTTAATTGTGTATAACGTACACGATAGAGGCTCTAGACTAATTTCTTCACACCACCGCTGGAATACCAACCACTATGGCCTTTAACAGGCTGTGGTGGATCCTGCTCTTGCTGCCTGGATAGTCTGAACAACCTTGTCAGACAGTCCCCCCTGTCTCAGCCTGTCCCTCTCAGGAGCCAAGCCTGGAGAGGACGCCCCTATTGCACCTGCTTCCTGAGACAACGCCCCCCAGACCTGAGGAACCGTCCAGGGCGAGAGGGGTCTGCCTGCAGACCTCCACTCTCAGGACAGTTCCGGTGCAGACCTCCACTCTCAGGACACCTCCACTGTCAGTACAGGAAGTGACGATTCTGACGTGTGCTAGCTAATAGTGATGCTAATTATAGCTAATTCCTAATAGTAGTATGTGTGTCGTTTGTACAGTGCTACTTATATGTTATGTAAAGCCTGCATACTTATATGTGTTTTATTTCTGTATTGTTACAGTTTTACAAAGTAAAAGAAGAACAGTAAAGTCAAGAAAGAAAACCTTGCATCTTTATTGGAGGACTTTTAAATGTTAGCTAACTGTCTAGATACGCATAGGGATACATAGGGGTAAGGGCAGTGGGCTGGACACCGGCCGTGGGGGGACACCCGAGACTGGGCAATGTCCCCGGTAGAAACCGGGTGAAATAGCCTAAAAAATAAAAAATAATAAAACCGGGGAAAATAGGGGGGAAAGTGAAAAAAAGTGTCCGAAAATAGGCACTCGTGAGGCGGGCAGAGTCCCCTGTCAACTCCCGTTACATTCCTCCATGGTGTCATTTGAGCGAAAAACTTTTACGAGAACCAGGCTGGGGGGGTCAAAAGGGCTTGACCAAGGCCGACCCAAAGCGCACGGTGGGCAGGGTTGGGAGGGTTACTTACTTTGTAAATGTAATCAGTTACTGATTACTGAATACATGGCTCTGAAAGTAATCCGAATACAGTTACAGTTACGTGTCTTAAAAAAGTAATCAGATTACTTTTAAATTACTTTTGGATTACTTTATTTTTCCATCACAGATGGGTATGTTTTGGTGAACAGGAGACACAAAAAGCAAAAGGAAACTGAACGTGTTTTAATGGCTTATCAAGAGCACAACTGAAACAACATCTGAAACTATGTAACAACATAATGAACTTTTTGGGGATGCAGCTTGTGATGTGAGGAGTGAGGGACACGTCACACGGCCAGTGTTGGCAGGGCATGAATTAAAATGTCGAACTCGGACTTCATTTTAAGGACATTTTGGCCAGGGGTGTAGAGCTATATTTGTTCAAGCACCGGATTGGCAAAACAGGAGAGTGTGTGCACCAGTCAGCCTTGATCTATGAATTCATGTCCGTGACACTCACAGTATCCTATCTGCTGCCCACAGCTGTTTTATAGAAGGAAAACCTCCTTCACTTCATGAAATCTCTGCAGCACCAGGAGGCAGCGAGAGGGTTAACTCAGCCTCCAGAAGACGATCGCGCAGTGCCTTTCACGCACCGCCTTCACTGTGTTTACCTTCAGAATCATTAGAAAGGCTAAAGAGCGGTGTGGCTGATGTGTTTTAACCACACACACCTCTACAAACACACACACACACACGCATACACGATTTAAACGCAGACTTTTGTTCCTCCATGTTTCGTTGTTATTGTTTCACTGAGCGGGTATGTGAAACAACACAAACTACCAT